ACTTCAACCACCATTAAATTATTACAATCCTGTTGTGACATTTGTAGAAGATTACTGAGGATCTGAGTCACTTCAGGCTCAAAAGTCTCTAGTTCCATGTTTGTCCATAGGAGTCAGGGGCATAGAAGGCCAACACAACCAACTGGCTCTTTCATGGTAGGGACAGTTTTCTGTGGTATACAGAAAGTGTACCATAATCAGTAGTGTATTTAGGTTTTGTGCTGCCCTAGGCAACACAAAAAGTGTTGTCTCCCATGTTTCATATATGTACCTTATGGTCCAGACACTAACCTGCTTTTGTTATGATCTAATGTTATTGCTTGGTTCTTTGTACACTATTATCACAGAGGTCATTTGCTTTCAGGCTATACATGTGAAATGTTTTCCTTATGTATCATCTATACCAGCCTTTCTCAACCAGGGTGCCTTGAGGTTTCTTCAGGGGTGCCATGGCAAAAGTTCTAAAAATTACCAAAAACTTGTATACAAACCAGTGGGTGGAACAAGCCTGCCTTTTAGTTACACAAAGTCACAGGTTTTCATTCTGCACCATTATCACCTTCTAGCCACCAGCGTCCTGACAACAACTGACATCAACTGACAAGTAGGATGACAGCTGCATGAACAGCATCCTAGTTTGACCCTTCCCCGCCCCTCTCCATCAGTGCTGGGGTCATATTAGCTCAGTGATGGATAAAAACTGAGGGAGAAGAGAAACATTGGAATACTAGTCAGTACCAGTGTGCAAAAGTGTATTTGCTTTGGAAGAATTCACCTCTGTTGGGTGTCCTATATATGTGGATATTGCTGCCTTATATAAAACTATTAGAATAGTTTTTCACATTTTATAATGGGGTGCCCTTTTAAAATGATGGACAGTCTTGAGGCACACTATTTTAGAATGGGGTGCCTCAAGACTGTCCATAATTTTAAAGGGTGCCCTGGAACTGTCCATAATTTTAAAAGGTGCCTTGCTGAAAAACAGGTTGAGAAACACTGATCTATACATATATTTCCACCTCTGTACAACTCTGTTAATTTCAATAAAAAATTTTCAGCGTACAAGGAATACATTTTATTCTATACATTTTCCTTTATGTAATGTTACTAAAATTATAATTCTTGCAAAAAGCAATGCAGCTAATTTTATTTTTTTAAATTTGTGCCATTTTTTTAATTTAAAAAAACAAAAAAATTAAGGAGCAAAATTAATAACAATGGAAAAAAAAAGTTTTAATGGTTAAATAGAATAAATCAGCAGATATATAATACAGAATATGAAAAAAGGTCATTAGGGCTGAATGGGTTAATTAAGGCCTCATGCACACTGAGAAGCTCAAAAAAAATTTTTTTTTTGAGCTACAGGAGTTTTAAGCATCAAAAACATAGTTTTGCATATACATTAATACATGTTAATGTACACTTTAATGCACGCTTTTTCACTTTCAGTGTTTTGTATGCTCAAAAGCTCTTCTGAATGCACAAGCAATGTTTTTTTTTCTGCTTGTAAACTCCCCTGCCACTAAATCCCTGAAAACACCTATAGTGTGCAGGGCAACTGTTAGAAATCATGTACAGCCTACCTGACAGGACCCCTCCCCCGCCCCCCCCCAAACACATCAAAATTAAGTTTAACTAAAAATACATTAAAATCATTATTAGCGGACACAAGCCTAACATAAGTTACAAAATTCTTGCTAAATGTAAAAGACAAAACTGAGTTAATAAAAAGTAATGTGTGTAATTGAGGTATTGGGGCTCATTCAGATATGTTTTGTGGCCTGTACAGTGTGAATCAGTTTTTTTTGTTAAAATGTGCCTATTGCTGTGTACAGACAGCCTATGTTACGCTATGAGGATGCAGCGACTATATTAACACAGCCTCAAGTCCTGCGTGTGGATGCAGATGTATGGATCCCAAACCTTGACAGTTTGCATTTGTGGCCTCTCACCCACACCTATCATATTAGGACCTGTGGCTGTGTTCATACATCCGCTGCATCCTAATAGAGTAACAAATGGCTCCCACTGCACAGACAGCTCATTCACACTGTATGGGCCAGGTAACCCATGTGAATGAGCCCTTAATTTATTTTAAAAAAAAAATTTATTTTTTTAATTTTGAAAAATTATTTTTTTTACAATGTTAATATTTTTACTTGAAAAAGGATTTTTTACATATTTTAAATTATTTTGTACATTATTCTTTGGGGGTTTTTTTCACTGTGGGGGGACTTTGGTGAGATATTAAGGGTCTAAACAGACCCCTGACATCTTAACTTTGAGAAAGAGAAAGGAATTGAGGAAACAGATTTCATTCATAAACTGAAGCATAGTAAGCACAGTTTACTATACTTCAGTTATCTATGAACTCAAGAGTGATCGCTACTGATCACTCACTTTGTCCATTCAAAAAAGGAAGGGGCTGGTAAATTACATATTTACTGGCCCCTCCTTCCACTGTCCATCCTGACATGTCCACTGTACCTGCAGCTGTCGATGGGTACAGAGGGTGTTGGCAGTGCTGTGGGAAGGTGGGCAGGGGGCGGCACAGTGACAAGGGGGCACAGGGGGAGAATCAAAACAGCATGGAGGGGGATTGTTGTGGCGGAGGGGGGGAGAAATTGCAGTTATGATGCCCTGTGTCTGTGTCTCTCCTAGCAGCAGGGAGAGAAACTGCTGCAAAGAGCCACACAGGGAATCCTTCTGTAATTGCCCCTCCGCTGCACCGATTCCATCGGGCCCCCTACAGGAGGACAGGTGGTCTCTCCTTATCGGCGGCCCTAATATTATGTATGGACACGTAGGCTAACATGGACAGGAGTTAATGGGCAGAGAATAATAAAAGCTCAAAACAGCTCAAACAGATGTAGGAGCAGCTTCTTTGAGCTGCAGTGTGCACGAGGCCTAACGGTTGATTAGGAGGTTAAATAGGAACATATTTTCTTGGGTGAAAAAAATTCTTAATTTTCAGGTTGCTTTAATTCTCATCACATTTGGTTTAAACACCATTCCTTTGAGCTGCATATGAATGAAATGGAAATAAAATAATGCAACAGCCATCACATTTGGTAATCAGCTCACAGCACATGTAAATCAGCTTTAAAAGGTAGCTGCAGGTGGTTCAAGGCATTTCTTCTTCCAAATCTATTCCAAAATAAAAGGCAGTCAGCATTCTTAGGGTCCTTTCACATGGGCGGACCTGTTTAGCAGATGACAGGTCTGTGTCTGCTCCGCTGCTGCAACGCGGACACAGAGCAGCTAGCTCTCCTCAATGGGTGGCCAGATGAAAACAGACCACTTGTCCATTTCCATCCGACCCGATCTGACGGATGGAAGGGGAATTGGATCCCCATCCATCCCTTTTTTTGTGGATCAAATTGGATGTTGGCAGGTGTAAACGGACATAGAGGAGAATGGAGGTTCCGATTGGAAAAACGGGCAGGCGGATCTGATCTGAACATCCATGTGAAAGAGGCCTTATCCGAATTTGCGTTAAGAACTTTATTTGTGCAACACAAGGTTAGCAAGAAAAAGATAAACAAAAGGTTCAACAGACTGAAAAACCACAGAAATAGAACAAACAATAAGAACATTATTGAAGTTCCCCAGAAAGCAGCAAGCTGAAACATATACAGAATATATATCACATAAGTCAACAGAAAAAAAAAAAGTAAAAAGCAGCAGCACCAAAGTAAAGAGAAAACAGAGAACCTCTCCACGAGCATGTGTGGTGCAACAGATGGCCTTTTGAATTTTTTAATTACAGATTTAAACACCCCAGAGCTCTCATTGGGACATTGATCTGCACAGTTAGTGCTCCACTACTGGTTCTCTGTTTATATACATTGGTGTTGCTGCTTTTTCATTTTGTTTTATTCATATTTTTGTTTTAAAAAACTGTACATTACATTATTTGTATAGGTGGGCAGTCATATAAGGATACAGAGACCCACCCACATCTGGCTATGCTTTAGACTAGGATTGGCTGAAACGCGTCGGACGGGTTGCCAAATTTAATTTTGTCATTGCATAAAGTTCTCACCATGAATTTGGAAAAGAGTGCTGGTGTCAGGAATGGACTTGCCAATAATGGTGGGACTCACCTGCCTTGTGGGCTGCAGTACCAGGGCTGGCCAGCGGGTGCTCTCAGCAATCAGAGACTTACCCCTGCAGTCAGCCAAACACCTGAAGCTGATTGCAGGGGTTGTATTTAAGGAATGGTCAGACTCACAGTCAGGGCCTTGGTGTGTGTTTTTCCATGGGCCCCTGTATCTTGTATCCTGTGTGCCTGTTCCTGTTCCTGTTTCTGCCTGACTTGTTGCCGACCCTGCCTGATCCTGACCTCTGCTGACTTCTCCTGTTTGATCCCTGGCTTGTGACCCTGACCATTCTCTGCCTGACCCTCTGCACCGCGCTGCCCGTGAGTTACTGAACCCAGCTTGTGACCCGCCTGTTCCTGGTACTCCGTTTGCCCGTTTGCTACTGACCCGGCCTGCCTGACGACTCTTGCATTGTATGTATTGTTATCTGTAGGTGGTTTGGTTTGGTTTGTTTGCACTGTGTTTATGTTTAATTTTGCACTGCGTTTTGTATTGTTAGTCTTAATAAATTATATTGTTTATACCATATCTGAAGCCTGCGTTTCCCTGTGTCAGTCCACACACCTCTGGTCATACCCGGAGCCCTGACAGCTGGTTTATCTTTGTTTTTTTAATCCAATAAAACAGCAATGTTTATAGATTGTATTTCTCTATTAAGCTTCTGAGCAGTGTTCCACACACGGTTCAGAAGCTCTGTTTTCCATTTCAGCTACTGATGTGCTAGAGAGCAAGTCTTGGCTGTCATTTTGACAGCTAGGAATTGTTACCAAGTACGGCAGATACAGCAGGGAAGAGGGGACAGGGTGTGCATTTTATAATGGTTTACCTCTAGAATAAGCTGCATTCATCTTTGGTCGTTTGATTTGTAATGAAAACAATTAATTATTTTTTTTTCCAGTGAGCTGCAACGATAAAATCCCACCAGCATGTAATAAAACTAAGGTATGTTTTTTTTTTCTTAGAACTATTATTTTAGCAAGGCACAGATTACCTTTATAAAGAATCCTTACACATTCTCTACCATAATGTAGTATTAAACCCTCAGTTTTATTTTTAGTTTAACACATCGAGCACAATAAAATAAACATTTTTCCAGTAAACTATTTATTTCAATTCTTATCCTGAGTACATCTTTCAATGCTGCTGGCTCCTGCTCTCTCAGTACTGTTTCCCTGAACTTCTGGTCTTTACAGGAAAGAGTTAACAGTGGAGCGTGCATTCTGGAGCCAGTCTGTTAGCTTGGAGAAGGAGGGGAGAGGAAAAGGGAGTAGGGGAGTGCCTTGCATTCTTAGGCTATGAGGCTGTGTGTTTTTATAGATGCACAGGGGGTAGGTAGACACAACTCTAGTCACTGTATGCAAGGGTGACTCCATAAAGATGCAGCAAGAGAAAGGAGCTACCCTGAAACGGAAAACCTGGGGCAGCGGTCATAACACCAGCTTAAAGTGAAACAGACAAGGATTAAGAGATACAGAATCTGCATACTCAGTTAGGCTACTTTCACACTGAGGAGTCTTGAAGCGCTTTTGCGCAAAAAAAAAACAAAATTTGAACAGCTCAAGAAAAATGCTTCCCTATGTACAGTTAGGTCCGTGTATATTTGGACACAGGCACAATTTTCATACTTTTGGGTTTGTATGCCACTAGAATAAATTAAAATGAAACAATCCAAATTAATTTGAAGTGCAGACTTTCAGCTTTAATTCAAGGGGTTAAACATAAATATCAAGTACACATTTTTGGAACTGCAACCATTTTTATACGGGGGTGTACCTTTAGTGGAAAGGATGGTGCATAACAAGTGTAAATATAAAAGCACAAGCCTGTGACTTTAAAAAGCCTGGTTCCAGATGGATGGCCCATCCGCTCAGAAGGGAGCTGTGAAGGAGAGGAGCGCCTGTCAAGCGGGGACCACGTAGTTGCGGCATCCCAGGTGACATCACCATGATGTCCAGGAGACGGAGGGGAGGAACCCACGCTGTGGGCGCACGCAGGGAGTGAAGGCCAGTTACCGGGACCACATATTTCGCGCGCATGCACTTTTTCAAGATTTGAAAAAGCACATGCGCAAGGTGTTTTATATCACTACACACTCCACAGTGCCTGGCTCTTTGTAGAACTCCCTGGATTCACTTATGTGACTTACTACGGCTACAGTGGTTTTCTATCATTGATGACAGTGTTTGACTTGCTCCCATGGTATGTGCCCTTTTGCACTTATGACTACAGTGTTTATTAACCATTTTTATACACAGTCCCTCCATTTTCAGGGGCTCAAGTGTAATTGGACAAATGAATATAATAATAAAATAAAATGTTAATTTTTAATATTCTGTTGAGAATCCTTTACTGGCAATGACTGCCTGAAGTCTGGAACCCATGGACATTACCAAAGACTGGGTTTCCTCCTGTCTGATGCTTTGCCAGTTTATAACTGCAGCTGCCTTCAGTTGTTCGTTGTTTGTGGGTCTTTCTGCCTTTAGTTTTGCCTTCAGCAAGTGAAATGCATGCTCAATTGGATTGAGATCAGGTGCTTGACTCAGCCATTGCAGAATATTCCACTTCTTTTCCTTCAAAAGCTCCTGGGTAGCTTTTGCAGTATGTTTTGGATCATTGTCCATCTGTACTGTGAAGCGCCGTCCAATCAACTTTGCTGCATTTGGCTGAATCTGGGCTGACAGTATATCTCTAAACACTGCAGAATTCATCCGGCTACTTCTGTCTTCTGTCACATCATCAATAAACACCAATGACCCAGTGCCACTGGAAGCCATGCATGCCCATGCCATCATACTGCCTCCACCATGTTTTACAGATGACATTGAGTGCTTTGGATCATGAGCTGTTCCAAGCCTTCTCCACATTGTTTTCTTCCCAACATTCTGGTACAGATTAATCTTAGTTTCATCCATCCAAAGAATGCTTTTCCAGAACTGGTCTGGCTTTTTTAGAAGTTTATTGGCAAACTCTAATCTGGCTTTTCTATTCTTCAGGCTTATGAATGGTTTGCACCTTGTGGTGAACCCTCTGTATTTGATCTTGTGAAGTCTTCTCTTGATTGTAGACTTTGACAATGATACGCCCACCTCCTGGAGAGTGTCCTTCACTTGTCTGGATGTTGTGAATGGGTTTTTCTTTACCATAGAGAGGATCCTGTGATCATTCACCACTGTTGTCTTCCATGGATGTCCATGGCATTTTATGTTGCTGAGCTCACCAGTGCGTTCTTCTTTCCTCAGAATGTATCTAACTGTTGATTTGGCCACTCCTAATGTTGCAGCTATCTCTCTGATGGATTTGTTTTGTTTTTGAAGCCTTACAGTGGCCTGTTTCACTTGCATGGACAGCTCCTTTGAGCGCATGAAATAAGTAATACTCGTGAGCCAAAATGTGATACTCCCCTTGTGCAATAAAATATTTAACAAACTATTAAATCAAATTATGGTGCATCAACACTTTACACAATACTCATTATCTGTGTGAAACATGTAATATATAACAAAATATGTATATATATCTTCAGATACACATACAGGTGTCGCGCTCCATATATACAAGTGATCATATAAATAGTGATATATATAAAAAACAATAGTGCTTCCAATAAGTGCAACATATAGTGCTTATCAAAATAATACTGATCCAGTACTCAAAAGTAGTCCTCTTTATACTTTAATTCAGTGACAAATTCAGTGGTGTGCCACACTCCCCGTGCTCTATAGATAGGTGTGCGCTCACCTCCTTATTGAGCCAAACAAAGTGGCTAACAACGCTTTTTGTCCTATCAGGACTGGGTGGTAATCTTCATACTATGTGTGTATATCCATCCATGCCGTGGATCTATATTGCCTTTTTCCTGCCACCAGAGGTCTCCCTTTTTCCTCCTTCCACACTGAGCCTCAATGGATAGTAGGGATGGTTTAAGTAGTATTTCCTCCTCCCAGTAAATTGGGAAACCATGTAAAAAAGAGCCACAATAGTGCCTTATCCTTTGTGAGGTAAAATCTTTTAATAGAAATAAGTTGCCACTCACATTGTGCTGTCTCCCACAGAGATGTATCCAACAGAGCTGTGCCCAGATCCTGTACTTGTAAATGCTGCTCGTCCACCGCGGCGTCGTGATGTCAGAGCCCCTCCTCTACGCGTTACGCCACAGGGTCACAGGAGGCAATTTACAAATATCCCAGGGAAGAAATTAGACTGTATAACAGATTTATTGACGATATTATTATAATATGGGATGGCAGCAAGGAAAGTCTAGAACTATTTTACAAAGATCTTAATGGTTATAGAAATAATATTAATTTGAGTTGGAATATTAAGGAGGATGAAATTAATTTTCTGGATATTTTAATTAAAAAGGAAGGACAGTTATTGTATACGAAAAATTATTTTAAAAATACTGACCGGAATGCATATATTCCAACTACGAGCTGTCATTACCAACCGTGGATAAATAATATCCTGAAGGGCCAATTTATAAGGTAGAAAAGGAATTGTAGTAGAAAAGAAGATTATAAGGCACAAAGTGAAAGGGTATGATCCAATAAAAATAGAGAAAGAAAGAAATGAAGTGGGACAGATGAATAGAGATATCCTATTGATGGATAAACCAAAGAAAGATAAGGGAGAATATGATATACCCATAGTGCTGGATTATCACAAACAGTATAAAGCAATACAGAGAATTATCTCTAAACATTGGGGAATATTAAAATTAGATAAACATCTTAATAATATTATCCCCCAGAAACCAAAATTTATATATAAAAAAGCACCCAATTTAAGAGATACACTGGTAAAAAATGTATTGGAACCATTGAAAATTAACAATAATTTCACCTTTTTTCAAGGTGAAGGGTTCTATGCATGTGGGGGGTGCTATGGGTGTAAGAGAGTTGTAAATAACCCCAGACGTAGATTTGTATTTTCTAACACATATAATGATAAGGAATACAAAATTAAACAGTTCATTTCCTGTGAAACGAAGGGAGTAATTTATGCGTTGAAGTGCCCATGCAATCTAATATACATTGGTAGAACTAAAAGGGCACTAAAAGAACGCATTAAGGAGCATGTATATAACATCAATAGAGGGTACAGATACCATCATGTGTCGTATCATTTTTGACAATGTCACAACCAAGATGCGTCTAAATTACAATTCTGGGGAATAGAGAAACACCAGAGACATTGGAGAGGAGATAATTTGGTAAGGGAGATAAGCAAAAAAGAGTCAAAATGGATTTATGAAATGAGAAGTTTAGCCCCCCATGGTTTAAATAAGGAATTTGACCTAATTTGTTTTATCAGTAATTTTTAAACAGTTTTTTAGCGTCAATAATTTTTTATAGTATAAAAAATAATTTTTTTTTAGATGTATTCATTGTATATGTATATTTATTTGATTTTATGTATATATATAAATGGATTAAAAATATGTAATTATGAGTATTTATAATCATGAGATATAGGTAGTATAATTTAAGATGTAAGTAATTACAGCAGAAGAGCAAATAATTCTTATTAAGGTTAAAAGAATAAAAATTAAAATCAAAATGTAAATGGAGGAGTAGGTTCTATTAAATGATTTATTAAACATGATATCTGTAATGAGGAGAATAATAAATAAAGATAGAATAAAGTATTGGATATAGAGTGGGTAATATAGTGGTCCCCACATATTATTGTGAGCTATATATATAAATTAGGTTTGTTTTTATTTTTATGGAATTTTTAATTTTTTATATAAAAAAAATTTTCTAATTATTTATATATATATATATATATATATATTATATATATATGTTATTACATGGGTATATATATATATATATATTTATTGTGTATTTTTTTTAATCGTTAATAAATAAAGTGGTATAGATATACTTTAATAAAATCATGTATGTAATAAATATAAAAAGTTTTTTATTAATTATTAAGTTATAAATGTTCTAAGATCCTGTAGGCTTGTAAATAGTGACAATGCAGTCAGAAAAGGCATTAGAAACGAAGTTGAATACATTATATGGAACTGATAATATGTGTATACATATCAGAAGTGGATTAGCATATATAGACCCCAATAAAATGGCCACGCGCATGCGGTCTACAAGAAAATGGCGCCGACTGCCTATATAAATAGAGCAGAGCGGAGTGACGTCCAATTGTTTTCCCCCTGATGAAGCCACGTGACCCTGTGGCGTAACGCGTAGGGGAGGGGCTCTGACGTCACGACGCCGCGGTGGACGAGCAGCATTTACAAGTACAGGATCTGGGCACAGCTCTGTTGGATACATCTCTGTGGGAGACAGCACAATGTGAGTGGAAACTTATTTCTATTAAAAGATTTTACCTCACAAAGGATAAGGCACTATTGTGGCTCTTTTTTACCTGGTTTCCCAATTTACTGGGAGAAGGAAATACTACTTAAACCATCCCTACTATCCATTGAGGCTCAGTGTGGAAGGAGGAAAAAGGGAGACCTCTGGTGGCAGGAAAAAGGCAATATAGATCCACAGCATGGATGGATATACACACATAGTATGAAGATTACCACCCAGTCCTGATAGGACAAAAAGCGTTGTTAGCCACTTTGTTTGGCTAAATAAGGAGGTGAGCGCACACCTATCTATAGAGCACGGGGAGTGTGGCACACCACTGAATTTGTCACTGAATTAAAGTATAAAGAGGACTACTTTTGAGTACTGGATCAGTATTATTTTGATAAGCACTATATGTTTGCACTTATTGGAAGCACTATTGTTTTTTTTATATATATCACTATTTATATGATCACTTGTATATATGGAGCGCGACACCTGTATGTGTATCTGAAGATATATATACATATTTTGTTATATCCTTTGATCGCATGATGTAGGTTCACAGCAATAGATTCCAAATGCAAATACCACACTTAGAATCAACTGCAGACCTTTTATCTGCTTAATTGATGAAGAAATAACGAAAGAGTAGCCCGCACCTGGCCATGAAACAGCTTTTGATTCAATTGTCCAATTACTTTTGGTCCCTTGAAAAAAGGGGGGATGGCTACTCTTAAGAGATGTAATTCCTAAACCCTTCCTTCAATTTGGATGTACATGCCCTCAAATTAAACCTGAGAGTGTGCACTTTCAGCCCATATCCATTATATGAATATAGCTTGAATATGTTTTGGTAAATACCTGAAAGAAAAACTAAAACAATTGTGCCTGTGTCCAAATATACAGTATATGGACCTAACTGTATGGCTATGTGTGTTTTCACACTGGGGCATTTTTGGAGCATGCTTGTTCAGTTAAAAAAAAAATGCCCCCAAAACACCTCTTCCCATTGAAATCAATGTAAAACACCTGAAAAACTCCTCTGAGAAGCGCTTCTGGTGCAGTTTTTAAGTCACGTGTCCTTTAGAAAATACTCAAAGCGCTGTAAAAACGCAGCCATGTATTTGCAGCAGTTCAGTGTAAAAGTAGCCAAAAAGAGATTATATCGACAGATGAAAGTTTTTAGACTAAAACTCCACTTTTAAGAAAAACACAATCCCCTCCAGGTGATCAATGAACATTGCAAGGATTTTAACAAACTATGTTTAAGAGTCTCACTTTTTTTTTGTGCTGAACAAAATTCTGTTTGTTTCACCATCTCCTGAGCATTCCTGATTTTCAATGGGGGGATCTGGTTCATTATAATAAGCTGGTGCACTCTTAGTGTTCCGATGAGAAAAGCTAAAGTGTCTGTATCCCTTGTAGACTTTATCACCAAAACTGACATTCCTATTGCAGAATTTGACTGATATCTTAATGCAGAGTTCTGGGAAAATCAGTGAGCCAACCACAAAAGCAGAAAATGACATTCCCATAACTAACAGTGTAGAGAAGGCCTCAAGGTTGTCCAGTGCGGTGAAATTTGTAGAAAATTACAGCAGCTGCAGATTGAAAAGGAAACGTCATTTGTATTACCATTAAATTACAACATGGCTTGTGTTCCAAGTGTACAGTATATATTATATTTATTTTTATTTGCAATATTTGTTCACAAACATGGAGTTGCCCTTTAAAAAAACTGAGGGTTTAATATCACTTTGACACATTTAATACACTGGTAGCAACAATTATGGTCTTTTGACTGAAAAATTAAATAAATCCCAATTTCAGCAATGAGTGGGCTACAGCTGGATTCTTATACCAGAGTCGATTTACTAAAGCTGAAAAATCTGGTGGACCTGTGCATAGAAACCAATCAGCTTCCAGGTTTTAGTTAGAAGCTGATTGGCTACTATGCACAGCTAAACTAGATTTTGCACTCAAGTTTTAGTAAATCAACCCCAATGTGTTTTCTTAGAGACTCCGGTGGTGTGAATTCTGAGCAGGATTTTGTGAATTTGTCCATTCCACAAAGCCATAGGAATGTCACTCTTTTGTGATTCCACAATGGCATGGATATTCATCAGAGATAACGAGAGCATGTGACACCATCATTTAGCTATGCGAAAGGGAGATTGGGCAAAGCTTTCATTTCTAATCTGACAGGGGTTCTAACCTCCCGCCACCCTATTTCAAAAATATTTCCATCTGTACTGCTGTTGACATTTTCTTTCACTTATTCTCTGTTGAAACCACTGCCACCAAGACAGTAGAGCTGGCCATAGACTATTTTTTTTTTTGATCCACCAAAGAGCCAAACGAAAAAAAAAAATAGATTCCTCCATTCATACAAGCAAGGAGGATAGAGGAATCCTCCCCGCTGGGATATTTAATTCTGACAGTGGGAATTCTTCACTATCAGAGTACACTGATGCAGTGGGCTGATCAAGAAAATTTCCCAACATGCCCAATCAACAAAAGTTGATTTAATGATCATATTCTGTAAAACAGGCACAAACACACATGGATTGAAATTTAGCTGGTCCCTGTTGAAACGGACGAATTTCAGTCCATCTATGGCCAGCTTATTTCCTTGGCGCCGGCACGTCCCTGTCATTTAAGGGGTTTCAGGTGCCAGAAGACAGGGCGAGGTTTATGATCATGTGATTGCCATGATTGGCTATCACAGCAGCCACATTATTGGAAAACTCCCAACTGAAAGAGATCCGGAGCTTTCTATTAGCCGCCTGTGTGCCAGGAGCGCGCGCATCGGGCTTGTTTCAGCACAGTTCTGTTTACCTTTAGTGGTAAGACCCGCCGAGAGGCTGCATATATGTGTATGACCTGTGGGAGGGAGTGAGAAGAAAGTTCTCTAATAGAAACCTGAACAGCAGTACAATTCCATCAGGTGCTCCAACCTTTTTCCATTCCATCATAAACTAAAAGAAGGTGTACAATGTCTTACAGTTCATAAAAGTAGAAACGCCTGTCCATGCCAACATGCTACAGAGTTGAACCCTTTATCTCCATGTGGAAACTGAGGTCTGGCATACCCCTGCTGAGTCAGAGCTAGAGATGGCCAATCACCAGGGAGCATTATCTGTAGATGTAACTTGGTAGAAGGGCTGTCAGACCTCTACAGAGAGATCACTGCTTACACACATATAGCAAAAATCCTTCTCTGCAGCATGCTGGCAGGAGACAGGCTTTTCTACTCAGGATGTGGCTTCTTTCTACAAAAATAGACAGTAATATTTTGCATATCTTCTATTTTTTAATATATATATATATATATATATATACATACATACAGTGAAGGAAATAAGTATTTGATCCTCTGCTGGTTTTGAAAATCTGTGGAGGGAGCTGAAAGTTCGAGTTGCCAAATGTCAGCCCCCACACTTTAACGACTTGGAGAGGATCTGCCAAGAGGAGTGGGCCAAAATCCCTCCTGAGATATGTGCAAACCTGGTAGACAACTACAGGAAACGTCTGACCTCTGTGATTGCCAAAAAGGGATTTGCCACCAAGTACTAAGTCATGTTTTGTGAAGGGGATCAAATACTTATTTCCCTCACGAACATGCAAATCAGTGCATCATTTGTTTGACATGCATTTCTTTTGCATTTTTTGTTGCTATTCTGTCTCTCAGTGTTACAGTACACCTACCATTCAATTTTTAGACTGATCATTTATTTGTGAGTGGGCAAACATTCAAAATCAGCAGGGGATCAAATACTTATTTCCTTCACTGTGTGTGTATATATATATATATATATATATATATATATATATATATATATATATACACACACACACACATATATTTTTTGTTTATAAAAAAAAAACAAGAATTTTACTTTGAATGCAGGGCTTTGTCTGAACTGAAGACAGAAGTCACCATTGCACACTTAAAAATCATGACTGCTTGAAGGGTTTAGCTTGCAATTGCCATTTTTCATGTTCAGTTGATTTCTATATCAGCTTTGACTATGTTGGAGACAACAATAAATAATAATTTCTCTCTGTGCAGCTTCAATGTGTTCTTGATACATTTACTGAATCATGGAAGCCAATGTGCAATGATAGCATCCGAGAAAAATTCAACGTGGACACGGTAAACACAATTCAAAATCATTTTGGGTTAGAATTTAGAGTAACATGGATCATTATGATTACAGTACAGTACTGCAGGGTCACTGATAAATGGTTTATATTTGTTCCCCTTTTACCCTTACTTACTTTATATGAGCCTTTAGATTAATTGATAGGGATCAGGGTTTATCTGACAGTCCCTGGCCATTCAACTGCTTGATTCAGACACTATCCTAACTCCTAAAGTTGGAAATGCACCAATTACATTTAGTTAAAAAAGATTTATTTTTTCAGAACATTCATTCAATTTTCGATTCGCTAAAGTCAAAGACATAGTGAACGAACAGAATTCTATCAGTGTTTGGGCTTTTCCCTCGGGAAAATGCATTCATTTCAAAATCATATGTTGAAAGCAAATTAAGTTTTGAACTACATCTGAACAACATTCTTCAAGTGTCTGATGGCATTATCAAATGTACTCACATGATTCTCATGTTCTTATGAAAGTCTTCCATTGTATGGCCAGCTTAAAGTGCTTCTAAAGGCTGAAGGTTTACCTTCATGCATTCTATGCATGAAGGTAAAAAAAACATTCAGTGTGCAGCTCTCCAGCCCCCCTAATACTTACTAGAGCCCAAACTCAATCTAGCAATGTGCATGAGAGTAGTGGCTCTCCCGGGTGTCTCTCTCTCCTCATTGGCTGAGATATAGCAGCGTGAGTCATTGACTCCTGCTGCTGGCAATCACAGCCAGTGAGGAGGGAGTGGGGGGCAGGACTGAGTCACGCTCTATATGTCCCATAGACACATAAAGGGGGGCTCATAAGTGAGCACACACGAGTTCCCCAATAGCAAGCAGCTTGCTCTGGGGCACTAAGCAAGGGGAAAGGGCCAGAAGCACCAACAGGGGACCCGAGAAGGGGAGGATCAGGGCTGCTCTGTGCAAAACCATTACAGCATAAAGCCTCTTTACATGGGCGGGCAAGGGGTGGTAAAAATAGCCAGCTGAGCCATGATTTTACTGCCCTCTGACCATCAAGCCACAAGATAACATGCCCATACATCATTGTGGTGTGTCAAAAATGATACCAGTTGATGTGTTTGGCAGTTAGTGCTGTCTCCAAATGCAACATGTTCAAATGAATGGGGCCAAACACTTGGCTCACAGTTGGCATGCACTATTTCCACTCAAAATTCCCCTTCAGCTGAAGAAATAAACAGAGGGATGGTAGGGACTGCTGCCCATCCAAAAGAGGCCTACAGCTATTTACAGTTCTCTCTAAGAGGACATAAACTTTGGAAACTGTTTCCAAAAAAAGGCAAAGAATTTGTCACCAGTAAAGGCAGGGTCTTCTGGCAGCTGATCATTTGCCCATTACTGACTTTTCATGCCTTGTTCTGCACTGTATCTTTGTATGAAGGCAACCATCTTTGTATAGACAGGGCTTTGCTTCCTTGTGTCAGAGCTGTCCCCCTAATGACTCTTGATTTGATAACTTTTGGGGGAATGGTCACAAACTAGCAGGCAAGGTGCAGAAGAACAGATCTATAGAATGAATAAACCAGAAGCAGGTAAATTCTTCCACTGCAAGTTCTCAGGTACAGCTTTCTCTTCAGGAAGGAGAACGGTAAGCAGCAGAGTAGTGACATCACCAAATCTCACTCCAAATCTTGTAAGACAGCAGTGCCTTAGATGTCACACTGCAATTCAGGACAAGAGGTAAATCTTTCAGGACACTGCTTGGGTACAATTAACATTTCCAAATATTCTCTATAAGAACCAAATTATATTTTTAGATCAGTTTCTAAGCAAAGTCACTGGACTGGAGCTCAAAAGTGTTTTTCTAATTATACTGTTGCTACCAGGACTAATTTTACCATTAGGCACAGCAGGTATGTCCCTATAGATAGCAGAGACCAAAGGGCAGTTTTCCCATATCATTATTAGCTACATATTTTTTACATTATCAGTACAGTCATTACATAAAATTATTTTCACATTATTCAAACATTTAAAGGGAGGTCAGAATGACATAGTTTGTCCAAAAAACTCATCCTAAGCAAAGAGGTGTCACTAAAGGCATCAAACATTTTGTGCCGACAGGATCCAGAGATGAAAAACTGGCCCTGGTAGCTACATTAGCTTCAATGTATTATTGTTGGTGTCACATACAACAATAAAAACTTGACAGAAGTATGCAGTATTCTCAGGTCTAACCAAAACTGAAAAAAGAAAATCTTGTGTGGGGTTGAGTTTTAAATATTTTTCTCAACATGTTTTCTCCTTTCTCAAAGTTCTTGGACAACCTCGATAAGCTGATCTTCACGTTCACAAACAAAAGCAAGGAAGAAAGACTAAAGATGTCAGGAAAACTGCTGAATGCAGTGGAGAGGATGGTACAGAACCTGGATTACCTTTTTCCCAAACCCATGTCACCCACAAAGAAGCAGAATTTCATCAGTGAGTCTTCTCTGCTGATGTAAATGTGTGTAGATGGAATGGTACATATCATAACGACATAATAGCAATGGGCAGATATTAGGAACACAGTAACTGGTGCCGCTCGATCCCCTGCAGCCCAATCAACCTTTAAAACCACAGCCCACCACCCCCTGCAATTCCTCCACCACAGATATTTTGTTAATTGCCTTTTTCCAGTGCCTTCAGGCTGGTCACATTGCAATGATCTTCTACCTGCCATGCTCGGTCCTGGATGATGTGGTACATATGTGATGACATCAAAATAAAAAAAGCTATCTGTATCATTGTCCTCTAAATCGGTGGTCTCCAAACTGTGGCCCCATTGGCTGGATGTGGCCCTTTGAATGACTTTAACTGGCCTTTGGGGCACTATTCCTCCCACTAACACCAATGATGAGGGACTATTCCTCCCACTGACACCAACAGTGGAGCACTATTCCACCCAATGACACCAATGAAGAGGCACTATTTGTGTAGAACATGGGAGAAGTCAAAGATCACCAGACACAGTGTTGCCTCCTCACACCTGATTTAAACCTCTAATTGCAATACTACTGGGTCACAATTGCATGCATTGTATGGCAATCATGGGGTTAAATCAGGCGGTGAGGAGGCAACATATCACCACTTCACCACCTGTTAAGCACACTTGGATTGCTTTTCAGAGGAGCATCAGTGCCTGCTGCACTGTGGTTGAGTCACGGTTTTACCACTTTTAATCCCTACCCCTTTTAACAGCCAAGGGTGTACACATGCCACCGCATGAATGGGCTGAAATCAAACTGTACAGAACTGCATATGGATCACACAGGAAATGCAGTGTTCCTATGCAATTCACATGCAGTATGAATTGGCCCTTAAAGAGGGGACTCTGATGGGAAAATGCAGCTTCTGCTGGGTAGCACAGTGGCTAAATGGTTAGCACTTCCACCTGGCAGTACTAAGGTAGTTGGTTGAATACCAACCACCTGCTTAGGTTTGCATGTTCTCCCTGTGCCTGCATGGGTTTCCTCCAGGTACTCCAGTTTCCTCCCACACTCCAAAGACATGCTGGTAGGTTAATTGGATCCTTTTTAAATTGGTCTTAGTACGTGAATGTAAGTTAGGGACCTTAGATTGTACGTCCCTTGAGGGTTAGGGACTGATGTGAATGTACAATATATATGTAAAGTGCTGCATAAATTGACAGCGCTATATAAGTACCTGAAATAAATATCTTTTGGCATTTTGCCCTAGTGGCCTCCCTTGCTGTCTGCAATCTGAGTGGTAAAAAATCTATTGGGCAAATGGATGTCCATGTTGTTAGTCTTAGAAATGAGAGGATGTGAAGGTAGTTTTCCTAAGCAGGAACACAGACAGCAATGCAAACTTCTAATAAAGTGAGGATATTTTACACCCTCTGCTTTTCCTTTATTGCTGTCTGCATCCCCATGAGGAAGACTGCTCCTCCCTTTATTCCTGGTGTTGACAGAACAGGAAGATAAGAGAAATCTCCTCTGTGGGGATAAATAGAGCATGGAAGTTATTTAGTAAAACAGCATGGTGCAAAATCTGGTGCAGCTCTGCATAGTAGCCAATCAGCTTCCAGATTTTATTGTCAAAGCTTAATTGGACCAGTTGAAGTTAGAAGCGGATTGGCTCCCATGCACAGCTGCACTGGATTCTGAGTGCTCCAGTTTTAGCAAAGCCCCCCATTGTTTAAAACTTTACAGATTTCTACATTTTCCCCACTCTATTCAAAATTAAAAAATGGTCTTGGTTGGAGTTAAGCCTAGAACACACGAACGGAAAATCAGACAAAACAAATACAGCTTTCGAAGCGATCGTATGATAATCTGATCGTTAGTACACGGCTTTCGACAGCCGATCACAACAGTTCATGTGAAAATATTGGAAGGGACAAACACAAAACATTTTCTTATTTGACTATAGTAAAGAACAAAAGAAAAGAGCGCACCAACCTTGCGCATTACCTCAGTAAACAATTCATGTATTTATTAATAAATTATACTCACAAAAGTAGCAGTAAAAAAGGCATATAATATTCATAGCCAACACAGGGTTAAAAGTCACGTGTGAATTCCATCCGGAAGGGAGATAGACTCTTGGTCAAGCTAACGCGTTTCGAAGGATGATCCCTTCTTCCTCACCCTTCGAAAAGCATTAGCTTCACCAAGAGTTTATCTCCCTTCCAGATGGAACTCGCATGTGACTTTTAACCCTGTGTTGGCTATGGATATTATATGCCTTTTTTACTGCTACTCTTGTGAGTATAATTTATTAATAAATACGTGAACTGTTTACTGAGGTAATGCTCAAGGTTGGTGCGCTCTTTTCTTTTGTTCTTTACTACAGTCTACATCAAGCTTCCACAGCTTCGTGCTAGAGCTGCACAACCTTTGATCAGTATTGGATGAACATACCTTTTCATTGGATTAATCTTCCTCTGATCTGAGCCCCTGAGCGCAGGAGGTGGTGGATGTGTGTTGATTTTCTCATTTGATACAGAACAAAGGATTTTCATTTGAGCAGTACAGTATTTGTTTGAAAAAAAAAAATCAGAAGACCAAACCACATATGCTCGGGAAAGAAAGAATACATTACAATACATAAAAAAAATAAAATAAAACATGGCACCTGCCCCGGTCTATAACTGGCTTATGAAGCAAGGACAACGTGAACCGGGCAACACAAGTCATAAAAAAGGAAAAATGGTTCAAAAATCAACTCGCCAGCCAGCTTGCCAACAACCAAATTGACCTAACAGTATGCATTAAAAACGGGTTTAGTTAGCACACATTTGCAAATACATATGTAAGCCACATCACGGCACCCTGATATTCTGTGGTCCTAACTCTACAAATTTGAGAGTCCCCATAGTAGAGCCACATGCATTTAAAGGATAGACCAAGGGCAGGTGCACATGAAGGGAGCCCATCCTTCTTAAAAGGTACAGGAGTGCAAAGAACACCCAGCATGTAGCACAATGGCCGCCAGGGCGCCCAGTGCATTCACCTTAAAAAAACAACAGTAAAATAAAACATGGCACCTGCCCCCGTCCATAACTGGCTTATGAAGCAAGGACTACGTGAACCGGGCAACGCATGTCTGTAAAAAAGGAAAAATGGTTCAAAAATCAATTCGCCAGCCAACTTGCCAACAACCAAATTGACCTGTCTAGCAGTATGCGTTAAAAACAGGGGTTTAGTTAGCAGACATTTCCAAATACATACGTAAACCACAGAGCCACATCACGGCACCCTGATATTCTGTGGTCTTAACTCTGCAAATTTGAGAGTCCCCATAGTAGAGGCACATGTATTTAAAGGATAGACATCACTTCCAAAGTTGTTTTCTGCCATATGAGAATTTTCGTAACCTCTTCATTTTTGATATGGAGACTAGCATGCAAAAAAAAAAAAAAAAATAAGACCATTTGCCCACTATTTTCATTGTGTGTTCGAGGCTTTAGGCTTTAACTGTCTTGGCTTGCCTGTTTACAGTCTATCATGGCCCCGTCGGCAGTCCTCAATGTCTTCTATGTTTTTGTAGATACTGTAAGAATTAGCAGGACCTCTGAAGACAGGAAGATCTCGCTGAGAAACAGAAATAGCACCATACACTTGGACACAAAGACGGCTTTGGGAAAAGCCAGTAAGTACTTCACACCTATCTCATCCAGCTGGCAACTGTCAGAATGTAGTGCTCCTCTGTGAAGTCCGAATAGCACGTGCTCTCCGCACACTACTCATGTAGTAGTAATATAATAATGTAGTAACATGTAATAATGATGATACGGTGCCAGAACTAGATGGAAAGATGCTTTGTCACTAGTACTCCATATCAATGCATTTCACGTGTTTATTACGAAGACAGCGTCACACAAGGCATGAAAATGGCACTATGTCACCTTGAGAAATGGACCCTTCCAGGCCCCGAAATGCTGGCTTATTATGCCTTATGTGACGCTGTCTTCACGATAAACATCTGAAACTCGTTTATTTGGAGTGCTAGTGATATAGCATCTGCTCACCTAGTGCGCAGCTGACTGCGTCTCATTTATCAATAGATTTGTGTCAGGTTTTGTGTGGATTTTTTACCTCTGAATCTGTAATCCTTAGTACCTGACTGTGACTATTTTTCCCCTAAAGTGTATCTAAAGCAAAAATGTAATACATTTCAGCTTACCAGACCTTAGATGTGGTGGCTGAATTAGTTTTCTTTTTTTTAAAGTGGTACTAAAGGCTTACATTTAAAAAAACACCCTGAGGTCATCACAGAGGACAAGGGGGCACTCTTTACATCTGGAGGAAAAGAAATTTAATCTCCAAACACGGAAAGGTTTCTTCACAGTGGGAGCTGTGAAACTGTGGAATAGACTCCCTCAAGAGTTGGTTCTGGCCAGCTCAGTATATTGCTTCAAAAAAGGCCTGGATTCTTTCCTAGATACACAGAATATAACTGGATACTAACATTTATAGGTGAAGTTGATCCAGGGAATATCTGATTGCCTCTCGGGGGATCAGGAAGGAATTTTTTTCCCTGCAGGAGCAAATTGGATCATGCTTTGCTGGGTTTTTTTCCTTCCTCTGGATCAACTGTGGGTATAGGATTATAACTATTTTTTTTTTCTATAGTTGAACTGGATGGACTTTTGTCTTTTTTCAGCCAGACTAACTATGTAACAAAAAAAAACCAAACATGTTATGCTTACCTGCTTTGTGTAATGGTTTTTGCAGAGGTGCCCTGACCGTCCTCTTGTCGGGTCCCCCCGCAGGCTCTCCTAGCTCCTCCCTCGTGTAGGGTGTCCCCACAGCAAGCAGCTTGCTATGTGTGTGTACATTCACACACAGAGTTGCTGCTCGGGCCCACCCTCTCTCTTTTCTCATTAGCTCACTGGCTGTGATTGACAGCAGAGAGAGCCAATTGCTCCCACTACTGTCTCAGCCAATGAGGAGAGGGAGACCCAGGATAGCCGAGACTCCAGTGCACAATCACTGGATCAAGAGGGAGCTTAGGTGAGTATAATAAAGGATGCTACACACAGAAGGTTTTTACCTTCATGCATAGAATGCATGAAGGTAAAAAAAACCTTGAGCCTTTACAACCACTTTAAGCCTTTTTTTCTTAATTTTCATAAGGTGATCCTGCCAATAACACACTTTCTGTCCTAGAGTGATAACACGCACTCACTGTAATGTATTTAAAGAGAGGCAGCATTGTCACCCTAGGAAAACACTACAGAACATCTCCCCGTCTCCATAATTTAGGATTAAGGTATTCTGTAATCCATAGAGATAGCTGGGAACAATTAAAGAGCACAGCAGAGCATTTACTAGCTAACTGGATTTTTAGCAGGATCCACTGGTATTTTTCTGCACTTTATTGTTAGGGTGTTCATAAATTTGCACAGTTAGGATACATATAGCAATCCCCCCATAGGAGCAACTGGTATTAGTTGGTCCTGTATCCCCACCAGAGCACACCCAGTCAGGTGCACTGCATCTTCCTCTCTCTCTCTCTCTCTCTCTCTCTCTCTCTCGTTCAATAAAGCAGTCTAGGGCACGGGAGTCAAACTGGCGATCCTCCAGCTGTTGCCAAGCTACAAGTCCCATGAGGCATTGCAAGATTGACACTTACAAGCTGTCAGTTTGACACCCCTGGTCTAGGGGTATCTTTTGTATTTTTATTGCTAATGTGACTTGGATATAGTAAGGTATGGGGGAAACATGGGCTGCCCCAAAGGAACTGGAGCAACTGAGGATTCTCCTCTCTTTTCTAGCAGAGGACTCCGACAAAGTCTCAACTTGCTATGAAAAATGCTGAAGCTCATTTCTGTGTAGAGTTGACAACTACATCCAATCTCTGGGGCATATAAAATAGGTCATTACTCACTGGCCTCAGGATTATCACCTGCCACCTTCCGATATCCACTGAGTGCTTCCAAGTGAGGAATATGCAAACTCACAATACCACAACCACTGGATCCTCTTCCATCCAGCCTCCACCTGGTATCCTCCAGAGTGCTTCTCCAGACCAAAAAAAAACCACTGAAAACCCCAGACTTTAGGGAATAACTCCCCCCCAGCCAAAACCAAGGCAATCTTGGCAGACTGCCTAGAGGGGCAGAGCCCCTCAGACAGGCTGCTCACTCAGGATCCAAAGGCAGCCTGTTCTGGTGCATCAAGCTAGTTATGGGCTCCCCAACCACCTTCTGGACACACCCTTTGTCACGATCAGGGTTCAGGCTTGAAGTCCAGTTGCTACAGCAGTGGAAAGGCTCACACCGAAACCAGCAGGATAGGTACACAGGCAGGTCACCCTGGCGGAGGAGTGGGTTCACCTGAGGTGTGGAGTCTAAGTACTAACCGGTGTTCACCAGAGCTCTTGATGGTGGAGATGGATTTTGCTGCATGTTAGCACCAGATCGCGGTCCTCAGGAACACCCCACCAGGAGGTGAGCAAGCAGAGGTCCAGTAGCATGTTAAGTAGGTGAAGATCAAACAGAAGCGAAGTCAACAAACAAGCCAAAGGTTGGGTAATGAGCAGTTGTAGGTTGCGATCAGGCAGAAGCGTAGTCGAGGAACAACCAAGGGTCAATAACAAGTGGTAGCAAAATATGGATGACAACAGAAAAGGCAAGGAGCGAGATACTGGCTGAAGAGAGCACAATAATCTGGCAAACAGGAAGTACAGAGACATGGCTTAAATCAGGAAGTTCATGGGAGGAGCAAAGGGTTCAAGGTTCATGACAAACATGACCAAGAGAGGATCATTCAAATAATTGTCAAGGGAGCTGTCCAGCATTCCAGTGGCTCAGCAAGAAGGAACATTGCCACACACACCCCAGAAGTCCCAGGCTGGGGCCCAGGCTCTGACACCCTTTCAGGGATTGGCTGGATTCCAATAAATATTCAAGCTATTCTTCCTCCTACTGTAATTCTAGAAACTGCCAGAATGCAGGGGGAGGCAATCAGGCCAGCAACCTGTGTAGCACTGAGCAGGCTAGAGCAATCAAACCCTGCTCCACTGATTACAGAGGAGTTAAACTAAATTTACATATCAACCTGCTCCAAATATACCATAAACATTGCGCAGAGGTAACTTTAGGTAGAAGGAGGGGATTTATGAATTAAGGTACATATGACTATTAAATATTTTGAGTTTTGTTTCTCCACACTGACTATTATCCTTCAACTCTCTTTTTTCTAGCAAACACACCAGTGGTTGGATGTCTGGAATATGGCAACATTGCCCCATTGCTGGAAGGTGCCGAACTTAAGATTGGTTCACAAGATCTGACAGCGAAACTTGTTTCGTCTGTAGTTTCCGTATTCTTCGGGATGGATAATACATCCAACCTCAGTAAGCCCATTCAGCTGCAACTTAACTTCACTGAGAAGGTAAGAATTTGTGGTTTGAGTTCTGATGCTAAAATATGGGCCAAGAAGGGTGTCATGTAACAGACTGGACAAGGGCTTATCGAGACATTGTCAACTGGCCAAAGCAGGGCAAGGTGACAGTGTCTTTGGAAAGCCCTGCCGACTCCTTCTACTCGCCTTCCCCCACTGCTCCTTCCTCCTGCCTAGTCATTATTATAATGAGATGTGTCACCAACCCAGTGGAGTGATGCCGTCACCCCTGCTCATGTAACAGTGCAAGGGTTAACCCAATTGGCTTCCAGACCTGAGCACTGTCACAGGGAAGAAGGACACTTGCTCCTCCATACCTGGAAGGGTCAGGTATTGTGAAAGTATTGAGATGGCTCCAGAAAAAGAAGCAGTGACAAAGGAACACTGGTTAGGTGAGTATAAAGGGATTGGAGGGGACTTTTCAGAGACACTGTTACTTTGCCCTGCATAGACATTGTCTCTTTAATCAAGGGAAGGATGCACACTGTCGGCCTGGGAGGCAAACACAACCAACTGGTAGGAATGGTTTCCTGTGGGCTAAAAGTGCTCTGCAAAAAGTGAGAAGCGATGATTGGTGGCCATGGTGAAGGGTGGGAGTTTGCTTCCCTCTGGTCTGTTGAAAGAGACGTATGGGGTTGGAAAAAATCAAACACACATACGCACTTATGTGGCTGCAGCATCGGTGTGATGCTGCAGATGTTCCCTGTTGGCTCTAAGACCAAGAACTGAGCAATCACGACAGTTCTCAGTCTTCAGTAAATAATGGAGAAAAAATTCTTGAAAATAGAACTAAAACTGAGGACTGGTATGCTGATACAGTATGTATTTCATTTTTGTTCTTGGTTTTCGATATGCTTGAATAACCTTACTGTGACATCTTTTTACACATACACGAATCAGCCACAACTTTATGACCACCCTTCTAATATTAAATAGGTCCCCCTTTTGCCACCAAAACAGCCCTAACTCATCAAGGCATGGGTGCCTCTAGACCTCTGAAGGTAGCTATGGTATCTAGAATCAAGCTGTCAGTAGCAGATCCTTTAAATCCTGGAATTTGGGAGGAGGGGCCTCCATAGATTGGACTTGTTTTTCCAGCATATCCCACAGATGTTCGATTGGACTGAGATATGCTGAATTTGGAGGCCAAGTCAACACCTCAAATTTGTTGTTGTGTTCCTCAAGCCATTCTTAAGCAAATTTTGTAGCGTGGCAGGGCACATTATCGTGCTAAATGCGGCCACTGCGATCGAGGAATATTGTTTCACACGATCTCGTGCTTGATCATGACCAAGCACGAGATCAAGTGAAATGTGATAACAGGTCCTGTATTCATGTCCTGGTGTTTTGTGTGTCCTATAGATCAATAAATATACACTATATTCATCAATCCTCTGGTGTGCGGCTGACCCTTCTTCCTGTTACCAATGGAAAGGGCACTAGGTCCAGTGGCAAGGGCCTCTGGGACCGATGGAAAGGGCCCTAGGATGGGTTCAGGGGGCCCTTCATGTTTTCCTGCACCAGAGCCCTGAAGGTTCTAGTTATGCCTCTGCCAGGAACTATGGAAATTTAGCTTGCAAAGAAACCACTTTTCCTAAAAAAAAAAAAAAAAACAGGATGGAAAATAGAACTACCTGACGGTGTTGTCACCTGGATGATTTGAAATCCTCTATGGGTGAAGTGCACCTTGAAGCAGCTTCTTTACATCTGCTGCAGTTTAGTTGAAGTACACACAGAGTGCACAGGGCAACAGTGTGAGATCAGTGGCATATATTTTATTCCATTTCATAACACACAAAAATGGTTATAATAAAAAAAATGGATCCTTAACAAAGATTTTTCTGCCCTAAGAATGTGACATCAAGCAAGACACATTGTGCCTTCTGGTCTGTAGAGGATGCTGCCTGGAGCACTGAAGGATGTGAGACACTTGAGAGACACCAGCATGGAGTTGTCTGCAACTGCACTCATTTAACCAGCTTTGCTATCCTGATGGCTATGGGGAATATAGAGGTAACTGATGTGAATGACTGATGTGAATCTACAATATATATGTAAAGCACTGAGTAAATTGACGGCGCTATATAAGTACCTGAAATAAATAAATAAAAAATAAAATGGCTCTGCACTGCACACCATGCTAGGCTTTGTTTGAACTACATGCAAGCCACGCTGGGACCTCTAGCTCCTCAGACATGATAGCTTTTCATATTTTTTTGAAGACCTGGAATGTCAAGGTTGCATAAACACAGGTTGGGACACATTTTGACTCATCCCTTTGGTTATTGAGTATAGTCACTGCACTTTGCTCTACCTTAGTAAAGGAAAGCTCTACAGGTCCTGCCATTGCAGAACTGCTGAAAAAATTTACATGGCTGCTTGAAGACCATCAAAAGCACGCAAGAATGGGTGACAGTGTTGTCACCCTAGAACAGATAGTGTCACTTTGCCTTTATAATTTAGCAGAACATATAGAAAAAGAATATTTTTTTTTATTTCATATAAACATATGCAACAACATATTTGGCCTAAATGTTTGGGTTTTATTCACTTTAATGTGCACAACCTTGGAAAAAGAAGGGGGGGGGGGGGGGGGTGATTGAAATCTTTAAATACATGAAGGGTATGATGAATGTTCAGGAGGGCAGTATGTTCAATATGAAGCTAAGATCAAGGACACTGAGACATACCGTGGCTTTAAGCTGGCAAAAGGAAAGTTTCAAGAATAATATTAGAAAATATAATTTTTTCCAAAAGATCAATGAATACAATGAATACTTGGAACTGTCTTCCAGCCAAGGTAATGAGTTAACAGTAATGGAATGTAAACGTGTTTGGAAAAAAAATAGATCTATACTAGACAAAAAGGTTAATTAATTTTAAAAAAAGCAGACCCAATTTACCACTTGGTATTTGTATGATTTGGTATTTACCCCTTCATGTTTTTAAGTATAATTTGTTTGTCCATTTTTGTATACAGTAGAATATATTGTAACTATCTTGCATCCTAACGGAAAACAATAGTTCAGCTGTACAGAATAAAGGCATCCAATGACTCCTGATCATAGATTTATTGATTTGATGGCAAAAATTTGATAGGTCATGTATCGTTATTTCTAAGATGTGATTGTAATATCAACAGATCTTTGCTAGCAAATAATCATATTAATATATGTATTAAGCATTTGTTCCTGTAGTGAAAATTAGGCCCAGTAGCCAGTTTAAGGTGTCCATGGACAGCTCAAAATTCTTGCTGAATTGGCTGAAATTTGAGCTGTGGCTGGCCCTGGAGGCATCTCCTGGTTTAACAAAAGTTGAATTAAAAATCGACTGAGTCAGGTGGAACATTATCGGCTGAATAGTGTATCAGAAACAGTCACTGTTTGGATATTCAGGCAGCTGCAGCTGGCAGTGAAGATTCCTCCATTCACCGTTAGCATGGATGGGGAAATCGATTGACTTTCTCAATAGATTTGTGTATGATAACCTTTAGGATTACATCCAATGGCCTGATACTTCTCATATCTATCTGAATGGGCAAAGCAAATGCTTGCTTTAAACAAGTGTAGCAAGATGTCATTAATCCAGCCACTCAGCGTTGCTACTGCACTCCTGGTCTATACAAGGAGCAGTGCATAGAAGCAACAATGCATTTTTTTGCATACAGATTTTGGATCCTTTTTGATAGTCATCTGGAAGGAAATAAGGGTGTTTTGTATACAACATATGCCAATTATTAGTAAATTGGGTCTAAAATATTCTTTCATAGCCAATATATGGCTCCAACAAGCCTGGCTTCTGGTGGGAGAGTGGAGATGTCAACAGTGTCCTTATTTGTATCTTCATTGTCATATCTCTTTTGCAAATTTATGTATAATACGCCTGTGGGACATCAGTTCTTACAGCCAGAAAATTCCATGGAAGACATGGTGTTTTTGGTTCCGAATGGGACCTTTAAAAATACCCAGAAAAGTTAAACCTTTGAACTACGAATGATAATTCTGTTTGACACAAGAGATAATGGACTCATTGTGGACCTCTCGACTCCCTCTTTACTTCCCATATTCCACAGCTTACTCCTCTTCTGGCAACGTTTGGCCCAGGGGGGCAAGTACAACCTAGAGGCCCATGGCGCATCAACTCAGCCCCCTCTCCCTTTTCCCTGCCTCTTCCCGACCCACAGCTCAGGCTGAAACCCCCCTCCAGCTACTCTCTGCTCACTGGGAAGGTCAGGGTCGACAGCGCCTACTGCATCAACTCTGGGTTCCCGAACTGGGTGGCGGGGGGGGGGGGGGAACCTGGGTGGCTCGGTCAGGGCAATCTGAGAGAGGAGAGCTTCCAGTGGGGCACAGAGCTAGCCTCTGCATGGACACAGCGTACACCATCCATGCCGGGGAAGGGCGCCCTGCGCTCTGTCCTTGTCCCCATCCCGCACTCAGTAGCACACCGATGGGGAATTTTTACTCCTCTTCACCAGGAAGCCTTTAGGCATGACTGTGGCAGAAGTGGTGCAGCCTTTTTACAGGGCATTAGAACGGCCTGAGAGGCAATTGCCCCTCTGCCCCAAAGCCCAGTCCGCCCCTTTTGTGCAGGTTTGTTTTAAAGGCAAAGTTACTTTTTGCACTATGTTACATATACACCTGTATTTGGGGTGTACATGTAACATGGTGCAAATGCCTTCACCCACAACCCTCACACTGCCTTCCACCCTGTGATAGTTTGTGGGGGTTCTTTTCCCCCCACAACCACTGTTACTTTTGTTCTGTGAATGATTGATCTACAATCCTATGCCACCATGGCAGATGGACTTGTAGTTCTTAGTAGACTACGGGTGTGGCAATCAGCGCACTTGTAGTCCATTGAGACTATGTCCAGCTCTGCAATCAAAAATCTGTACAGAGGTAAGGGCAGAGAGCTGGAGGAAGAAGGTGCAAAACTTTGCAGGCTCCTGTAAAAAAAAATATATATATATATATATATTTTTATTTTTGATTTTTATTTTTTTCTTAAAGGTGAACTTAGCCTTTAACATTCTACTAAACCTTTGGATATCAGTATTGTTTGGACCTAGAACAAGGGAATAAACCCCTGAAAACTTGTCCTCTCAAAATAATTGTTAGTCCTGCATACCAAATCACTCCCCTGCCCCTCCTCAAAAATGCAGACTATGCCCGCCACTTCCGCTCATACTCTCCATTCATAGCACCCATACTAGAGGTTCCCACAATGCAAAGTGTTCTGTGATTGGAGGAGCTGGACCATTTATTCATCTGCCTACCCTCCAATCAGTTAGAACCAAGGGCTTACATTTTTTTTCTCTGTCATCCTTAGAGTTGGACATTAACCCTCCTTACGAAAATTGGGCTTTCAATCTCAATCGTATGCCTTGCCGTTGCCATCATTACATTTTCCTTGTGTCGATTTCTGCGTGGAAAACGGAACACTATCCACATACACTTGTGTGTTTCCCTTTTGCTTGGTCACTGCATCTTTCTAATTGGCATTGAAGCTTTTTCCAATAAGGTAAGATACTTTACCACTTATGGATTTATTTAAAATTACCATGAGCTTAAAACATTCCAAATTAGAAATCGGTTACCCTTGTGATTGGGGAGCGGTGAATCCCATAGTTGAGCTGAGTTTCTACAGCCCCTCAACCTCAACATCCTCTGTGGCATTCAGTGGGTGTTACCGCTTACTGAGCGTAAGCCATTCAGGTGACTAGGAACCTGCTGCAACTGACTTCCAATTGCACACAACATGCGTGGTTGTTCGGTATTTAGGGGGTTAAAACAGGCAGCGGGGAGGCGATACACTAATCTTCCCTGTAAACTTCACACTAACCCTCCCTGTAACTTTAACAATAATCTTGATTCAAATATTAAAGAGGATCCAAAAAGAACTACATTTAGCTATCATCCTAGCAACCTATATAGCTATCCTACCTACACCTGTAATCCTAATTCCTATAACCAAAGGCTCATCCTCCCTGTAACTCCCACTATAAACCTCTATGTAACCCTTACACTAACCCTCTATGTAACCCTAACACTATCAACCTGGTAAACCTCACCCTAAACCTCCCTGTAATCCTAGAACTAATCTGCCCTGTAATCATCACTCTAAAATTGTGACCCCCAACACTAATCCTCCTTGAAACCCCCAACACTAATCCTCCCTTTAAATCTAACACTAATCCTCACTGTAACTCTAACACTAATCCTCACTGTAACTCCAACACTAATCCTCACTGTAACTCTAACACTTATCCTCCCTGTAACTCTAACACTAATCCTCCCTGTAACTCTAACACTAATCCTCACTGTAACTCTAACACTAATCCTCCCTGTAACTCTAACACTAATCCTCACTGTAACTCTAACACTTATCCTCCCTGTAACTCTAACACTTATCCTCCCTGTAACTCTAACACTTATCCTCCCTGTAACTCTAACACTTATCCTCCCTGTAACTCTAACACTAATCCTCCCTGTAACTCTAACACTTCACCTCCCTGTAACTCTAACACTAATCCTCACTGAAACTCTAACACTAATCCTCACTGCAACTCTAACACTAATCCTCCCTGTAACCCCCAACATTAATCCTCACTGTAACTGTAACTCTAACACTAATCCTCACTGTAACTCTAACACTAATCCTCACTGTAACTCTAACACTAATCCTCACTGAAACTCTAACATTAATTCTCGCTTTAACCATCAGCCTAAACCTGTAAACCTCACACTAACCCTCTCTTTAACCCTTTAACACTCACATTAAACGTCCCTGTAACCTAAAAGTAATCTTCCCTGTACCCCAACAATAAAAGTGTTAAGACGCTATTTGAGGATCCATGCTATACTGGCAAATATGTACGGTAATCTGTGATATTACCAGTTCCCAGCTGGTTGTTGCTGCAGCACCCATTTAGTTTTCAGCCTACCCCATAAATATGTGAAATGGGAATATCGATAATTGCTCTCTGTAACCCTAACACTAATCCTCCCTGTAACCCTCATCATAAAACTTCCTATAACACTAATCCTCATTGTAACCCTCACCCTAAACCTCCTTATAACCCTAACACAAATCCTTCCTGTAGCCCTTGACCTAAAACTCCCTATAATCCTTACAATAATTCTCCCTGTAACGCTCGCCCTAAATCTCCCTATCACCCTTACACTAATCCTTCCTTTACCCTCACCCAAACCTCTCTATAACTCTTACACTAATCTTCCCTGTAACCCTCACCCTAAACCTCCCTATAACCCTAACACTAATCCTCATTGTCAACCTGATATTAAACCTCCCTATAGCCCTAACACTAATTCTTCCTGTAACCCTCACCCTAAACCTCCTTATAACCCTTACATTAATTCTTCCTATAACTCTCACCCTAAACTTCCCTATAACCTTAACACTAATCCCCCTGTAATCCTAACAATAATCCTCATTGTAAACCTGACCCTAAACCTCCATATAGCTCTAACTCTAATTATCCCTGTAACCCTCACCGTAAACCTCCCTATAACCCCAACACTAATCCTCCCTGTAACCCTCACCCTAAACTTCTCTATAACCTCAACACTAATCCCCATGTAACCCTAACACTAATCATCATTGTAAACCTGACCATAAACCTCCCTATAGCCCTAACACTAATTATCCCTATAATCCTCACCCTAAACCTCCCTATAACCCTTACACTAATCCATCCTATAACCCTCACCCTAAACCTCCCTATAACCCTAACACTAATTCTCCCTGTAACCCTCACCCTAAACCTCCCTATAGCCCTTACACGAATCCTTCCTATAACCCTAACACTAATCCTCACCGTAAACCTCTCTATAGCCCTTACACTAATCCTTCCGATAACCCTAACACTAATCCACACCCTAAACCTCTCTATAGCCCTTACACTAATCCTTCCTATAACCCTAACACTAATCCACACCCTAAACCTCTCTATAGCCCTTACACTAATCCTTCCGATAACCCTAACACTAATCCTCACCCTAAACCTCTCTATAGCCCTTACACTAATCCTTCCTATAACCCTAACACTAATCCACACCCTAAACCTCTCTATAGCCCTTACACTAATCCTTTCTATAACCCTAACACTAATCCTCACCCTAAACCTCTCTATAGCCCTTACACTAATCCTTCCTATAACCCTAACACTAATCCTCACCCTAAACCTCTCTATAGCCCTTACACTAATCCTTCCGATAAGCCTCACCCTAAACCTACCTATAACCCTAATACTAATCCTCATTGTATCCCTCACCCTAAACCTCCCTATAACCCCAACACTAGTCCTCCCTTTAACCCTCACCTATAACCTCTTTGTAGCCCTAACTCACCCCAGTCCTCTATGTAACTCTCACACTAACCCTTTCTTCAACCCTTAGGCCTCATGCACACGGCTGTACAGAGGCCATACAGCATGCAAAGCTTACATTTTTGTATTCACTGGAAGTCTTCCTTTAGTAATTTTGTGTTCATTTGTGACACATTGTTATCCCAGGTGGTGTGTGGAATAGTGGCGGGGCTCCTGCATTTCTTCTACCTCTCTGCTTTCTGCTGGATGTCTCTGGAAGGATTGGAACTCTACTTAATGCTTGTCAACGTATTTAAGACCCAAGTGAAGACTAGATACCTTCTGGCAGTGGGCTATGGAGTGCCGACTGTGATCATCATAATTAGTGCAGCAGTGTTTCCTGGTGGATATGGGACCAAAAAACAGTAAGAATTTTATTTACTATAGTAAGAAGATTGAATAGAATATTTGCAATGAGGATATGAAACATTAGGACAGGGAAAAAAATTAACCACTACACAGCCATCTTTTCAGGTTTTGCACACGTAATACACATTTTAGGCTTGAAGATTAGTTAAACCCCCAAACATTTTATATTTTCTGAAAGCAGAGACCCTGAAGAATAAAATGAAGCTAGTGGAAACTTTTTATGGTACACAATATTATTGCACATGTTTATCAAAAGAAAATTTTCAGTAAAAGATACGTTAAAGTTAACTTTGGTGCACAGAAAAACAATATATTGCCCAATGTGTTAATAAAATATCAGATGAAGTTGTGATGAGTAAATAAATACCCAACAAGTCAAGCCTTAAAATTGCGCACGCACATCAAATAGTGACCAACTTTGGTACCCAAAATTGCTCATAGGCATCACCTTCTAAACCTTTACGGGATATCAGTTTCCAGTTAACCCTGAATGAGTGCCCTAGAATGACTGGTCCTACTCAGATGTTCGGGGAAAAATGTAAGATGTGTAACACAATCATCGTTTTAGTTTGTAGGCACACCTCCCAAGTGAATGTACATGGGGGCAGTGGACAGTAAAAAAAGCTTTGTGTTTTTTATTTAAATAATTTTTTACAAATAATTGAATTGCTATTACATAGGGGGGGGGGCAATAGCCTCCTATGCAATAGCATACTGTAATGACAAATTCTCTATTAGACCCTTGATGTCTCCCTGCCCTCCACTGAAGCTAATGGAGCACAGATTGTACAGCATTAGCTTCCTCCATGGTCATAGTAGCCAGAAAAAGCAAAAGCCGAACCTGGAAGTGACATGATAAACATCGCTTCCATATTTGTTCCTCAAAGGGGAGGTCAGTGAATGGATGTTCACTGATGTCCATCTGTTCCACCTGCTGACACCCGCCATGTCGGCCCCAGATATGCATGTGGAATAGCGGAGGCTGGATACATGGCAGGAGCAGGCAGGCTAGGGGGGAAAGGTGCTACCTTCAGCAGGCTACGGAAGCGATTGGTGGGTTGACAGTCACCCAATTACTCCAGCTTGAAAGTGCATCACCTGCTGAACAAAGTTAAACACACTGTGTTTAAATCTCAGTCTACCAGCCGCCATATTTGAACTTGGCAGATAGACATGCATTTAAAAATGTGTGAGACATCATTGACAGGCTAGAAGCATCAGGGGAACCATAAGCTTCTGTAGATATTGCAGGAACCTGTAGGTGAGCTGATATTCTAAGTTCCATAGCAGGGGCGGACTGACAACTCATGGGGCCCCCGGGCAATAGGGGATCATGGGGCCCCTGTGTCCTTGCCCAAACTCAAAAATGCCTATGAAAAAGGTACCAGGGGCATCTCATGGGGCCCCCTACTGACCCCGGGTCCTCGGGCAGCACCCGAGTTTCCAAATGGTCAGTCCGCCCCTGTTCCCTAGTGTCAATGAACCATTGTCTTAATTTACCAGGGTCATATTTAAACATTGCTCAAACTTCTGAAGAGTCATAGTGAACTATTGTTCTGACCTCCCAAGATGCAGTAAATCATTGTTCTAATACTCCCCGTGTATAAGTGAGCTATCATCTTACCTTCCCAAGAGTCCCAACTTCCTAAGTGTCTCAAAAGCCACTGTTCAACTGGCATGACCTACATTTCAGTTGTACATTGTCCTGCATGCAGGGCTGGGACAACGGGTGGGCAGGAGAAGCAGTTGCCCTGGGCACAGTGGGATTTTGGGAATTTGTTCTAGAAGGGTTATGGGGGGGGATTTGTACTAGGAGGGTGGACTTCTGTTAAGATGGGGGATTTGGGCAGGGGGGGGATTTATGCTAGTAGGGAAGATTGGAGGGATTTGTGCTAGAAGGGGAAATTTGGAGGGGGGATTAGTGCTAGGAGGAGGGAATTTGGGGGGAACTTGTGCTATGAGAGGGGGATTTGGATTAATCCTCTGAGGGGAAATTTGAGGGGTAGAAGATTTGTGCTATGAGGGGGGAATGTGGGGAGGGAGAAGATTTGAGCTGGGAGGGGGGATTTGTATTGGAAGAGGGGGAATGTTTGTTTGGAGAGAATTTGGGCTTGCAAAGAGAATTTATGATTAGGGGGTGAATGTGAAGATTAGTGCTCAAATTTTTTTTTTGGAAGGGGTAGATTTTTACTAACACACAATGCTCATACATTTTTGGGGTGTGGTTGCCATTTTGCATCTTCATCCTTGGCACTAGATGACCTTATCCCGGCATTGCCTGCATGCACTCCAGTATCCCAGCTTTGCCTTACATCCCAAGTATCCCAAGTAGTAACGTCTTAACTTTCCAAGTGTCAGCGTCCTAAATTCTCAAGGGTCACTGTACCACTTCCATGACTTACCCCAAGCTGCGTCAATGCATGTTACATGTGTTGGTGCAGTGTGGTGCCATTCTTCTGATACACCTTGCCAACATTTGTGCATTGGGTGCACTGCAAAAAATGCTACATGCACCTGTTTTGATGCATTTGGCAGCCCATTCAAATGAATTAGCACAATGCACATTAACGCCAGGTATAACATGCAATAATGTAGTGCAATAGTGAGAATTAGCATTAGAATTTAATTGTTCCATTGCCCTAACTACCCACGTGCCAAAGTCTGACTCTTGTGATATCCCAAGCAATAGTGCTTTGTGGACTTGCTTGATATCTTGGCCCGTGGGCCTCATCTTTCAGGTTCAGATGATAGTATGGCTTGGCAGACATTAGTTTGGACCAACATGAGAGACAAAGGTTCAAAACTGAGAAGAGAGAATGCTTGATAGAATATATCATTTAAAATTGTCCTTTTTCTTGTATGCAGCTGCTGGCTGTCAACCGATCACAATTTTATCTGGAGCTTCATGGGACCTGTGTGTGTCATTATTCTGGTAAGTGTCAGGTATTCCTAACATCTCCTTCTCAGTCCCATCAAATTAACTCACACAGCTTGAATATAAGATACTGATTTCTTAAAAAAGCTAGGTGGGAGGGAGCTGGAGCACAGAAAGGTGGTTAGCAATACAGTAATGCAACCCTCAAGGCCAGGGGCAGACTGACCATTTGGAAACTCGGGCATTGCCCGAGGGCCCGGGGTCAGTAGGGGGCAACATGAGATGCCCCTGGTACCTTTTTCATAGGCTTTTTTGAGTTTGGGCAAGGACACAGGGGCCCCATGATCCCCTATTGCCCGGGGGCCCCATGAGTTGTCAGTCCGCCCCTGCTCAAGGCTTGATTACAAACACAGGTCTTGGTTTGGCAGCCAAACTAGCTACTGGCAAGACCTATGCTTGTAATCACACTGAAAAAGGTGCCAGTAAAGGTTTACTTCACTTTCAGCCCATTCATATTATTTTCCATCTCAAGCCTTGATGAAGGGGGTAATTTTTGGACCCTCAAAACACTTTTTATTGGAATAAAGTCATATCTGGACCTCTTAGCAGTGGTGAGGTACTTCAAGTTCCATTTTTATTACATAATACTTCAAGCCATGGAGACCATGGAGATCCTCTGGGTTGTAGAAGCCGCCTACCCAGTAACCAGATTATTGGCATCGGCATCAAGGCTTTAAAATGGCAAAACCAAAAAAAAAACGACCGTATGGGTCCAGTGCTAATTTTCCACTTCAAATCTATATAAAAAAGAATGGATTTAGAAATCATTAGTAACAGAGTTAGGTCTCAATCTTGGAGTAATCAAAACATATAAGACGTCAGTGGCTAACTAACCAATAACTAAAATATCACTTTAGGATGGGCTGTCCCTTTAAATCCCTGACAGCAAAAACAGCTTTACATCGCCATCTGCTGTCCATTGATAATATCTTTCTCCCCCTATTCAGATGAATTGTGGAATTTTTGTATTGACTGTTTGGAAACTGGCTGAGAAAATGACAGCGATCAACCCAGAGCAAGGAAAACTAAAACGCCTAAGGTAAACGTCTGTTACTACATTTATTACGGATGATATCTAATGTTACTTCTAGCAGTTCTGTTTATTTATTCCTCATATGCTAAACGTCTCTGCACTTGACTTTTACAGATTTGCAATGTAAATTCACATGGATGGATATTTGTACAGCTTGCATTTCATCTGCTTGCTGTGTTAGGGCAAGTGCGTTGCGTTTGGGAAGCCCCTCAAATTGAGTGGGCTGCCTAACGCAACAAAATGCACACTAAAACATTTTTGCCAATGCAACTCAATGCAAGTTAATGAAAACGTTAGTGCATTGTATCACAATTCACATTTTTCAGCAAGGTGTGCTGGGCTGCTTTTCAAAATGGATGGCTCTGCAATGCACTAAATGTAAAGGTATGGTAGAGTGCTATAGGGGTGCCATCATTCCATAAGTTTACAATGAAAAAAAAAATACCCTTTTAATGAAAGGAACTAATATGGGCACAACAACTATGAGAACTCAAAAATGTGAAAATTCCAAGAACTTTATTATAATACCATTAAAAAGGACAATAAAAATATACATGTGGCTACATCAAATATGCATGAATTACACAGCAATGATCATAGATGATGTCCTTGGCCATAAATTGATGAGTACAGAGACATTAAACACGTTTCAAGAATAGGATTTTATAGGTCTTCTTCAGGGATGCTCATATATAGGTACAGGGGAATTCTGTAATGTAAACACACCATTAGAAAACTATCATGGAAATATAGTACACAAACAAATTTCTGTATAATACTGACCCAGCTATGAAAGACATTTCAGCTCAACCAGGTGCATGAGTTAAAAACGGGGATGGAAGTATGCTATTTGCTCCCTTATAAATCCCCACACAGGGACCACCACCAGGCCCAGGCCCATAGGCTGCTGGGGTAATAGAGTTTACCAAAATGTTGGCACATATGTTTTGTATACAGTGCCGTGCCTTCATTTTGATGATCTCTATTACCCCTTGGTGGCCCCAGCAGCCTATGGGCCTGGGCATCCCTGAAGAAGACCTGCAAAACCCTGCTCTCGAAATGCGTTGGTTGTCTCTATATTCACCAATGAATAAAATACCTATGCAAGATATCATTTAGGAAAACCATTGTAAACAGGTAGTATGTTGCCAAACAATCAATGTACTTATATAAAACAAATATCTGTCTGTACAGCACAGTGTCTGCATCCTCTGACTGCCTGCTGTGTTAGTTTCCTGAGAAGTAATTGGGGGGGGGGGGGTAGCAAACAAGAACTGGAGAGTCGCACTGTAGCCGTCTTTCAGGTATAGCGCGGTCGGCAAGCAACACTCAGAGCATCTCTTAGTAATGGAAATAGTTTGTTTATGCCAACTTGAAATTAATTATTTCAAGTAACACAAAACCTGGGTTTTGTCATCAATTTACATGGGGTGTGTTTTTATTTCACATTACTATACCTGTCTAGACTTTAAAGGGGAGCTTCCGTCGTTTTTGTAAAAATTCAAAGTCAGCAGCTACAAAAACTTTAGCTGCTGACTTTTAATAAACAGACATTTACCTGTCCCCAGAACCAGCGGTGTGCTCACCTGAGGGGGTCATGGGAACCATCTTTGGCTTGTGGTTTCATAGCTGGGTGCCCACTACGCATGCGCAAGTCGTGTGATTGATCCCGCAGTCTTCTGGGACCTGTGCTGTGTCCCAGAAGACTGCAGGGAGGGGGGAAAGAGCACCTCTGCTTGGATTGCCTAGGTGATCCGAGCGGGAGTGGGAGAGGGCACCTGTCAAAATCAGGTACCCGCACCCCCTCTCTCAAAAAAGATTGCCAAATGTGAAAGAGGTGTGGGGGGGGGGGGGCCTTAAAACTGAACTTCCCCTTTTGGGTGGAGTTTTGCTTTAATTTAAAGTATATGGTAGCTATCTGAAATCAATTTGTTCCTATTATTCCCCTACAGCTATTGCCTTTTATATCACTTGATTCCTCTTTGTATTGTAACTGTAATGTCTGCCTTCAATTTGTAAAGCACTGTATAAACTGTTGGCACTATATACATCCTGTATAATAATAATAATCGTTATTCAGATGTCAAGCTGACAGATTACACTCTAACTGTTGATTCTGATCTATTAGGAGTTTGACGGTGACCTCAGTTGCCCAGCTGTGCATTCTGGGCTGTTGTTGGGCATTTGGATTCCTCATGTTTGGGAAGGCAGACATAGTTTTTGCATACGCATTCACCATCTGCAACGTTCTGCAAGGAGTACAGATCTTCTTCCTGCACTGCCTCATGAACAAAAAGGTTGGTAGAACATAAAAAGGTGTCATGATTGGCTGAAAAGTTGGGTTGGATTGCTACACAGCCAACACAGGCCAAGAAGGGCAGCACACAGCGATCCACATATTATATTGCTGATAGCCATTAACACATTCTGAAGCATAATTTCCAAAAAACAAACGAGAAAAACAGGGAAGAGCACACCTTGTAGGTAAAGCTTTAAAGATCAAAGTTTTAAAAACAACAATGGTTGCACTCACAAATTTCAGAAACGTAAAGTGCCTACTATGCCAACAGTAGGAGCAACCTGTGTGAGCCGAGTAACAGCAGTCTCTGATGTGCAGATGGGCCTAATGTGAAGATGAATTCTTGGCGTCAAGATTTAAACTAGACGTGCAGTTTGTTTCATTTCGATTCGAAATTTGGAAGAAATTTTTATTATATGGAGATTTAGATGTATCCTAATATCCAAACAACAATAGTAATCAGTTTAGACAAATTTGAAATAATGAAACGAAATTTCATACAAATTCTAATTTGAAAACTAAAACAAATTCAAAATGTAAACATATTGCGGATTTACTTTGAAGACTGTGTGTCTTCACCTGTTAGAATATACAGGTGAAACTCGAAAAATTAGAATGTTGTGCAAAAGTTAATTTATTTCAGTAATGCAACTTAAAAGGTGAAACTAATATATGAGATAGACTCATTACATGCAAAGCAAGATAGTTCAAGCTGTGATTTGTCATAATTGTGATGATTATGGCTTACAGCTCATGAAAACCCCAAATCCACAATCTCAGAAAATTAGAATATTACATGCAATCAATAAAACAAGGATTGTACATAGAACAATATCGGACCTCTGAAAAGTATAAGCATGCATATGTACTCAGTACTTGGTTTGGGCCCCTTTTGCAGCAATTACTGCCTCAATGCGGCGTGGCATGGAATCTATCAGCCTGTGGCACTGCTGAGGTGTTATGGAAGACCAGGATGCTTCAATAGCGGCCTTCAGCTCATCTGCATTGTTCGGTCTCATGTCTCTCATCTTTCTCTTGGCAATGCCCCATAGATTCTCTATGGGGTTCAGGTCAGGTGAGTTTGCTGGCCAATCAAACACAGTAATCCCACAGTCATTGAACCAGGTTTTGGTGCTTTTGGCAGTGTGGGAAAATGAAGTCAGCATCCCCATAAAGCTCACCTACGGAAGGAAGCTCCTGGTAGATGGCTGCGTTGACCCTGGACTTAATGAAGCACAGTGGACCAACACCAGCAGATGACATGGCTCCCCAAATCAACACAGACTGTGGAAACTTCACACTGGACTTCAAGCATCTTGCAGTGTGTGCCTCTCCATTCTTCCTCCATACTCTGGGTCCTTGGTTTCTAAATGAGATGCAAAAGTTGCTCTCATCAGAAAAGAGGACTTTGGACCACTGAGCAACAGACCAGGTCTGTTTTTCTTTAGCCCAGGTAAGACGCTTCTGACGTTGTTTGTTGTTCAGGAGCGGCTTGACGAGAGGAATACAACATTTGAAGCCCATGTCCAGGATCCGTCTGTGTGTGGTGGCTCTTGATGCACTGACTCCAGCCTCAGTCCACTGCTTGTGAAAGTCCCCAACACTTTTGAATGGCCTTTTCCTGACAATCCTCTCCAGGCTGCGGTCATCCCTGCTGCTTGTGCACCTTTTTCTTCCACACTTTTCCCTTCCACATAACTTTCTATTAATGTGCTTTGATACAGCACTTTGGGAACATCCAACTTCTTTTGCAATTACCTTTTGAGGCTTTCCCTCCTTATGGAGGGTGTCAATGATGGTTTTCTGCTCAACTGTCAGGTCAGCAGTCTTTCCTATGATTGTGATTCCTGCTGAACCAGACTGAGAGATCATTTAAAGACTCAGGAACCCTTTGCAGGTGTTATGGCTTAATTATCTGATTAGAGTGGGACACTTTGAGCCGAGAATATTGCACCTTTTCACAATATTCTCATTTTCTGAGATTGTGGATTTGGGGTTTTCATGAGCAGTAAGCCATAATCATCACAATTATGACAAATCACGGCTTGAACTATCTTGCTTTGCATGTAATGAGTCTATCTCATATATTAGTTCCACCTTTTAAGTTGCATTACTGAAATAAATTAACTTTTGCACGATATTCAAATTGTTTGAGTTTCACCTGTAGCTAACACTATTCTGTTAGAATAGAATGCAATAGAATAGAACAAAACAGAATAGAAAATGAATAGAAAAGAAGAGAAAATAAAAGGAATACAAAAGAATAGAATAGTAGGGATGCAACAATAGCGGGGTTTTTTTTTACGAGTACCGATACTTTCGTTCAAGTACTTGCCGATACCAAGCACAGATACTTGTCATAGCCCGAGTTCACACAGGAGCAGTGCTGGAAACCTCCCTGCAGCTATTCCATGCTGAGTGTCAGTGGTAGGAGAGGAGAGAAAGTGGCGAATAATCTGACCAATCAGATGCCATCTAGCCCGTGGATTTCAAATCCCTGCCGCTTTCTCTCCTCTCCTACCACTGAGAATTATGGAGCATCTTCTTCCATAGTATACATCTCCACACTCCCACTCTCTACTCCTGTAGGGAGGCTTCCCACACCGCTCATGTGTGAACTCGGGCTATGACAATCCTGGTTGTACACAGGAGCAGTGGGGAAACCGCATGCGATTTGGACAGGAATCGCATTCTTGTTCAAATCGCATGCTAATCTTTGCAGTGCAATTTGTGTCCATTACCGCAAATCACACCACAAAGTATTGGTTAAGGTATCAGGAGTATTTTCACGAGTACAGGTACTCATGAAAATACTCGGTACCAGCATTGTGCATCCCTATAGAATAAAAAATAAAAGAATAGAATAAAATGGAATAGCATTTGAACATAATAAAATAGAGAGAATTCAAAAATTTTAATTTTGAATAGAGTAAAATAAAGAATTTAGCCATCTTTCAAAATTCAAATTTCAAAAAGAATAGAATAGAATAAAAAAAGCAAATAGAAGAATAAAATGGAAAATAATAGAATAGATTAGAAAATAAAATAATAGAATATTAGGTGAGTCCAGAATATAATGAGAATGAAGTTCTTATGAGAAAGGCTCTGTGAAGGGAGAAGCTGGCCAAGGTCACTTGCGGTAGGGTGCCAGGTATACATTAGAACACTGATCAGTTGCATTCCAGCCGAGTCGCGACATTCTATTTTGTGACACCCTGTTCAAGTGCCTCATATTAAGAAAAATGCAAGTGAGTTTGGAACGGCTGTACGCAATAAAATATTGTGTGAAATTGGGTAAAAGTGCATCAGAAATGGTGAGGAAAGCTTATAAAGAAATTTCGCTACACAAGGGTACCAATGGCAAAAGGCCTTCAAAGAAGGATGAGAAGGTTTTGAATACAAACAACGATCAAGATCTTCCTCAAAAACGGAACATAATGTGGATGCAGTGAGGTCTGTTCTCAACCATGACCAATGGCCCACTATGATTGCAGAGTAAACGGACATTTCAATTGTTCATGAAATCGTGACTAAGGATTTGAAAATCATTAAAGTGTGTGCAAAACTTGTTCCAAAGAACTTGTCACCTGATCAGAAGGAACACCGTCAACTTGTTTGCCATGTCCTACTGGTCCATTTAGAAAGAGAGCCTAATTTTGTAAGTCAAATTTGTATCTAATGGTCAAACTGTGAATCAAAGATTTTACCTGGAAGGTCACTTGAGACAAAGGGTTTTTCATGTACGTCCTGAGATTGGCTCAACTTAGATCCTTCATCACAACAACGGGGCCAGTCACAAGGGCAGATTTACTAAAATCTGGTGCAGCTGATCATGGTAGCCAATCAGCTTCTAACTTCAGCTTGTTAAATTGAGCTTTGGCAATAAAACCTGGAAGCTGATGGGTTTCTATGCAGAGCTGCACCAGATTTTGCACACCTGTTATAGTAAATATCCCTGCACAGTGCTTTGGCTGTCAAAGTGTATTTGGCTCAAAAACACATCAGAGTGCTTCCCCATCCACCCTAAAGCAGCGAATTGGCTCCTTGCAAATATTTCATATTCCCAAAGATGAAGAAGGATTTGAAAGAACACCATTTTGGTAGTGTGGATAATGTCCAGAGTCACTACGCAGGTACTGAACGCCATCTCACCTGAAGACTTCCAGGGATTCTATGAAGAATGGAAAAATCCCTGTGTGCACTCACAAGGTGCATACTTTGCAAGAGGCAAAGTTCAATTGCAACATTTTTCAATAAAATCATTTTTAAAATATTATTCTCATTACTTTCTGGACATACCTCATAGAATAGAAAAAATCTAATAACATAGAAAGAATATATAGCCGTCTGAATTGAACAGAAAATAAAAGAATAGAATAGAAAAAATAGAACAAAATAGGAAGAATATAGACGTTTTTTGAAATTCTAATTTTGAATAGAATAGTATAGAATAAAATAGAAACATAGCTGTCTTTCAAAATTCAAATTTCGAAATTTGAATAAAATAGAAAGAATATAAAACTCTTCTGAAATCTGAATTTCAAAATAGAATAGAATAAAATAGAATAGAATATAACCATCCTCAGAAATTCAAATTTCGAATAGAATAGAACCAGCTGAATTCAGTGTTTTCGTATTCAAATTTGATTTGAATACTTCAAATTTGAATCTCATCAAAAAGCAATACACAAAACTAAATGAAACAAATGCAGCAAAATTACATTAGTAACGGCTAATTAAAATTTCATGCTGAGCATCCATCGAACATCACTGGCCACGATGTGATGGTTCTACAACGTCAGCAAGATGGGGCTACATTCAAAGTGATTTTAGTTTCTGAAATATGTGAGTGCAACCATTCTTGATTTTAATACTTTGACCCTTAAAGGTTTTCCTGTGTGTGTAATTAGGGACAGCTGCAGAAGACTTTGCTTCAGTTCTTGCCAAAGACTTGGGACTAAATTTAGATACTCATCAATCACCATCTGCTCAATCTTCCTCCCACTTCTGGTGGTCTTGTTTTTATCTGTAATGTAGTGCAGACAATGTTTCTTTTTTGTTTGCTCTTCATTTATAGCTTTCAGACTGCTATCCTGTCTGCCACTGCAACCTGGATGGCTCCTCTTTCTCCCTTTCCTGGCAGGGTGCATTCTTCTTGGTGGAGTAGTGTACTGTGTACATACAATTTTACCAACTCTGGTTCCACATATCTAGAACCAGAGAAGCACTAGCAGAGCTGGGTGGTTTTTGTTCAGTTCTAGGCAGGGGCGGACTGACAACTCATGGGGCCCCCAGGCAATAGGGGATCGTGGGGCCCCTGTGTCCTTGCCCAAACTCAAAAAAGCCTATGAAAAAGGTACCAGGGGCTTCTCATGGGGCCCCCTACTGACCCCAGGCCCCCGGGCAGTGCCCGAGTTTCCAAATGGTCAGTCCGCCCCTGATTCCAGGTGTACTTCTAAAGAGTAAGCACTCTTTCAGCCTCTCCACCCCCAGCCTTGGCATTTCTTGTGTAAATCTGTCTGATCTTGAAAGTGTAAGAAAGGCCAGAGATGACTCAATTTTCTTCCTTGCAACTGTGGGTTGCAGGACACAAAATGGCTCAATTTCCCCCATCAACACAGTCAGTGTTGATGAGGGAATGGCTGTCGCGGAATTATTGTGTTCTATGACAGGGAGCCTTCCTGGCCGGCAGAACACGATTACTGCTAGTGGCTGTATCTGCCAGCAGTAATCACATGTATAACATCCAACAGACTGGTTGTATCCAAGTCAATGGATCATCTTGGGTACAACCAGCCCACCTATAAAAGGATTGAATCTCTGCTGGTCCCCGCTGAACCAGCTGAGATTCTATCCATCTATGGCCTACTTAGGGCTTGTTCATCTATAGGATGGTAACAGAAGACTGTTGGCCAAGGGGGCAGGAAATATACATCTTACCCTGCTGTTTAGATAGAGGGGCTTGGGATAAGTTATCAGGCTACAAAACCAGTTTATCAGAAGCACATTACGGTGATGTCAGATGTGTCAATAATGTAGGCCCATTTGTTGTTTTGAAAAATCAATGGCCCTATCATTAAAGCAAAGCCCCAGCAAACATTTTTTTAAAATGGTTGTAATGGCAGAATGCATTAATGTAAAAAACCTTCTGTGATCAGCTCCCCGCCCTCTCTCAGCCCCCCTAAATACTTACCTGAGCCTCGATCCAGTGCTATGCCCGAGAGAAACCACGCTCTCTCTCCTCACTGGACATGGAACAGCAGTAGAAGCCAGGGGTGGGGGGCTAAGCTGCATCAACATAGCCTGGCTCAGGATTGAGTCCATATGAGTACCCCCCCCCATAGCAAGCAGCTTTCCATGGGCACACGGAAGGGAGGAGGAGCCAGGAGCACTGGTTGAAGACACCAGAAGAGGAAGATCGGGGCTACTCTGTGCAAAACCATTGCACAGAGCAGGTAAGTATGATGTTTTTTTATTTAAAAAAATGTATCTTTACAATCACTTTAAGTTTTGAATCGAATGAGTCAGAACCTTTGTGATATCACCTTCCATTCCAGCCATGTGAGAGCCAGAGGAGCAAGTAACGGGGCTGCTCCCCATCTGCTGGTAATTTTCAGAGCCCTGTGTGAAGGACAGCTGCGGAGCAGCTGAGGATCCAGAGGAGGAAGATTGCTTTCCAGGCTACATATCCATTCCACCTTAAAAAGGGGACCTCTGGTAGATTGCAACATTTATACAAATTGGGTATTTAAAATGTGCATCTGGTGAGTGCGCATTTTTACTATATCCCCGGCACTACACCGAATATATATTGGCACATAGAATGTATTTGTGACCACCTGAGCACAGATCTTCACGTAGCAATACCATTTAACGGATGTTAGTGTTTTCACTATCACATGATCTTTTAATTCTTCTATTTATTTATTTATTTTTTTCCAGAGCACATATTGAAATTGAAATTATATGTTTGCATTTTACTGACAGTTTTTTTGCATACTGTGGACTTTACGCACAAAGATTTATCATTATAAACGCATTTTATTTGACACTAAACAAATTTATGGTTATTTTATAGCGCTGCACTCTCCAGGGGCGGAATGACAACTCATGGGGCCCCTGGATAATAGAGGGATCATGGGGCCAGTGTCCTTGCCCAAACTCAAAAAAAGCCTATGAAAAAGGTGCCGATGTGGGACCCGCATAAATACCGGCAGCTGCAACCACCCACAAAGAAAAATGCGGGAACCGGCGGGAAGATGCCATTAATCATAATGGCACGCTGCCCGTACTGGAATTCACGACTGTACTGGGAACCTCGGTTCCCATGCAGCCTTGCAGCCTGCAATTTCAAAAATAACGTAGGGACTTCTTTCTTGCGTGTCCCGGGGCACTGCAGCCCATTAAAATGAATGGGCTCTCATGCCCCCGCATATCGCGGCCTGCACGGCTTTGAATCTGGCTACATCTGAAGCACGAACGTCATGTTGTATATGGTCCAGGGGCGGACTGACAACTCATAGGGCCCCCGAGCAATAGGGGATCATGGGGCCCGTGTCCTTGCCCACACTCAAAGCACATCTAAAAAGCCTATAATAGATACCAGGGGCATCTCATGGGGCCCCCTACTGACCCCGGGCCCTCGGGCAGTGCCCGCGTTTCCAAATGGTCAGTCCGCCCCTGGGTGGGATTTAAAGACAGAAGCATTCCGAATAGAGATTTTTCTTAACACAGACAGATCAGAATGACTTTTTTGTGTTTCTACCATTCTTTTCATTTGGACCTGCCTAAAGGGATCCAGTTTGCCAGATGGAAAAGTAAAAACCAGCAGCTCACCGTATGGGGGGGGGGGGAGAGAGAAGTACCACTTCATCAAGTGGTGTGTTAAAACTTTGCTCTTGAAAAGCTCCAGGCATGGCTGCTATCCAAAACTTCATGGTGTGTCAGTTATTGTATCCCTCACTGCATGCTGTGGTTCCTCCTACCAACTTAAGTCACTGCTGTAAGCTGGGAAGATGTGGAAATAGGCAGGAGGGTCTATTGGGTGCAAGCAAGAACCAGATCAACACTTCTAAATGTCTTGGTTCAGTAAAAGACTGGTGGACAATTAGTTTTGAATGGAAAGGTATTCTGCAGCATAGGCAGAAGGAAAGGTATTTACATTCTTGTTCAGGGTTTTCTTCTATTCATGTTAATATTCTTGACCAAGTCGCTTTATTAAGCAAAGGGTTGAATATTATAGATTGCTCCATGGTCAGTAAAGAAAGAATCTGTCATTTACCTTTTTAGTTTTTCAAAAATGTCTCCTTTTTTCCACAGGTTCGGGATAAATACAGCGATGTGATCTGTGCGCTCGCTCATTTCAGGTCTCCACTCTACTCCGAATTCAGCAACAGCAGCAATGTAAATACACAGAGCAGGGTAAGAGGAAGTCTTTATACTATTTCACCCATTTAAGGATAATTCCATTCATTATAGAAAATCCCGTGAGGAGCAGACTGTAGTTTGATTTACGAAGGCCACCTTTAGTACATGCAGAGTTGCCGTTTTTGTGCTCAACAAATATTTTAGGTGCCTTACTTTTTTTCTTCTTTCTAGGAGAGTTCTCATTTATACAAGTCATGGTATATCCAGTAGTAGTTAGCCACATTCACTTTACTTGTTCTGTAATGTTGACAACATTTCACTACTTAGCCAATAAGCTTCCTCAGTTCTTACAAGTGTCAGGAACACACTGCAGCAGCTCTGCAGGAGACAAGGAACCTTGGAAGTGTGTTGGGTGAAAAGGATTCTCTAGGCCAGGGGACAAGGAACCTAAAACACTTGGAAGTGTGTTGGGTGAAAGGGATTCTCTAGGCCAGAGGACAAGGAACCCAACACTCTTAGAAGTGTTGTTGGTCCATCGGCCAACTCTCTCCCTCAAAGACAGCAAAGTTCAGCTACAGGACAAGTAACTATAATATCAGTTCTTTACAAGGGAACAACTGTCAACAATCTATTTTGCAGCAGTTAAATTGGAGTCTCCCAGTGCTTATCCCTCCTTCTAAAAATGCTAGTTGCCTGGAAGCCATGCAGATTATCATTACTAGCAATACCTCACCAAGTATGCAAAATGTTTATATTTTCCATACCACCTTGCCACAGAATGCCCACTGATTTTTGGTTTACCTGTAAAATTATTTTCTTGGAGCACAGCGCAGGCAGCAAGGTAGAAGGTGGCTATTACAGACCAGTGAGTTTAACACCGGTTGTAGTTAAGTTAATGGAATCACTCCTGAAAAAGAAGGATCATTGATCACTTAGGTTTCATTCACACTTGTGCGATTTCAAAATCGTGTGATTTTCATTGCGACTTGGATGCAACTTTGGATTTGGCCAAGAATGATTGTTTGTGCTGTACAAAATCGCACATATATCATTCAGGTGTGACATTCATGTGACTTTGAAGGATTCACATTGAAGTCTATGCACTACCAAGTAGGAACTACAAGTCACTGTGACTTGAAGTCACACAGATATGAATGGCACTCATTGGGAAACATTGGGTGTAACTTGTTATGCGACTTTGGACCCCAAAGTTGTGTGAATGGCCTCTTAAAATTTGCTGGACCCAAAGCAGCATAGCTTTATTGAGGGCAGATCATGTCAGATTAATTGGATTGAATACTTTGACCATAATACCAATGTTCTGGACCAGGGTGGTGCTATGGACATAGCATATCTTGATTTCAGCAAGGCATTTCATACAGTTCCACATAATGATCTAATACAAAAGTTGTACAAGCTAAGACTTAGCCCTTGGGTGGTTCAGTGGATATGCAGCTGGCTAAAAGATAGATACCAGAGTGTGGTTGTAAATGGTGTTCACTCGGAGCCCAGTCACTAGTGGTGTACCCCAAGGCTCTGTACTAAGTCCTGTGATATAGCTAAGGGTTTGTTGGGTAAGGTATGTCTTTCTGCTGATAACACAAAGGTGTGCAATAGGTTTGATATCCCTGGAGGTGTCTGTAACATGGATCATGATTTGGCATTGCTTCACTTTATACACACACACACACACACACACACACACACACACACGATTTTGCGCACCAGTGTCCTCCTGTAGCAGTACTTCTGCTATAGGGCGGACGTTTTTTTATTAAAGCGGTTAACCCCCCCCCCAACATTGAATTGTAGCCTCTGTCTTGGTCCTGCAGTCAGGCACTGACTCTTTCCTTTGAGCGTGTAAGAGAAAAGTGGCAGCCTCTCAAATGTAACCAGCAGTACTATTTACATGGCTAAATGCTGTGTTTGGTCATCACAAGGCACAGAGCCACTCTGATTGGCTCTATACCCTTCGCCCATGATATCTGCTAATGAAAGTGGGATCATGGCCATTACACACAATTACTGCTCTGAGAACAAGGACATTTATGAAAAGGCTTTCACCATTGCAAAGAATCTGACCAGCTAATTAGCTACAAAGGCCAATCAGGAGGTAATAAAAAGAATGTGTTTATTTTGCATGTCTTGTTACAGGATGTCTAATGTGTCTTTTATTACAGGCCAAGGTAAGCAAGGAGTCTGGCTTATGATGGATTCTGCACACCTTGCAATCTTCTGTGGCATGACTTGCCACATAGAGACTTCCTTTGCACTTCCCACTTGCCTAAACCCAGACTAGTTAAAATAAGACTAAATTTAAAGGGAAAAAAAAAACAGACTGATCTGTCAGCAGAACTCTCAAGGCAGACTGCACTTTTCACTTTGTGCCAATTACCTCTGACCATGAACAGAGAGCACCACCCACAACACTTCCAAGGAAACAACTGATGATAAACCATTATGAACAAGGACACCAGATTTAAACAATAAAAAAAGTTTAATTTCTTTCCCTTCTTTACACAAAACCAAACTCAATAAAAAACCCAGATATTGTAAAACCGAAAAATTCCCCACAGGATGTGTGCAGCCAGACAAGAGCAGAAACTAAATCGGAGACCAGAGATGAACATGTACTCTTAGCAGGACAGCAGGGGGGCAGCGTTATCGACTCTGTTCAACTGTAAAGAAAGAAGAAGAAAAGTTAATCACATACATGACAATGTTCTATATGTAAATATTCTTAAGGCAATGCTTCTTTCCAAGGTACAATTTTTATATATAGGTTATAAATGCCTTTGTATATTATGCTAATAAAATGAAAGACCGCATGTCAGTATATTCTGTGGGGGAAAACTACCACAGCTTTACTACATGTCCTCTTGTTTTGAATACTCCCTGCATGGAGCTTGTATGTTCTCCCAGTGCTTGCATGATGGTTTCTACCCACACACTGAAAATGTCTTTTTCAGTGGTAGGTTAAAGCTGAGCTCCAGTCATTCCACAATCCAGTGGTGTACTCACCGCAGCTGATTTCACCAGATGTCCTCGCTCCGCGGCACCGGCATCTTAAGTGTGGACACCTGGCTGTGACAGCTTCACAGCTGAGTGCCCACTGCACATGTGCAGTGCCTTGTGAATGGTCATGTATTCTTCTGGGACCTGTCACGTCCCTAAAGGAGTACAGGGAGGGAGGGGGGACAACTCCCGCTTCTGATCGCCTAGACAATTGCAGCGGAAGTGGGAGCAGGTACCCGTCAAAATTGGATACCCGTTCCCCACCCCCCACAAAAGGTGCCAATTCCTCACGGGGAGCAGGGGACTAGTACTTAAGTGGAAATTCCCCTTTTGGATGGAGCTCTGCTTTAACTGGCTCCTGTCTAAACTTGCCCTAGTATGTGTATGTATGACTGAGTTAGGGACCTTCGATTGTAAGCTCCTTGAGTACAGGGACTGATGTGAATGTATAAATATGTAAAGTATCAGTGTTAAATAAACTTATAATAAAACATCTCCTGAACTTCTCATTTAACTTCAAACATTTTCAGGTTGCAGATTCTTCAATAGTAAACACGAGACAGGTGGAATTCACTTACTGTAAGTGGATATGTCTATCTCATCAGGTAACTCGCCCACGTTAACTTCAAATCTGTCTTGGACATCATTCAGGATTTTGGCATCCTCCTCATCAGATACAAATGTTATGGCCAAACCTTTTGTGCCAAATCTACCAGCACGAGCCACCTGAAAAAAATACAGTTCAGTCAAGGCAAGGAAACAAACCTTTAGAAATAAACTTTAAAAGAAAAAAAAAAAAAACCCAACATCACACAGGGTCCCTTGCAAGTTTATGTCACAGTGTGCTGGTATGCACCGGAAGAGAGCCATGCAGCGTGCTGTCACTGCTTCTGGGGTTTCATTGTACTTACAGTCTTTACCTGTCTATACAACTTAAGGCAGAGACTTTTCTACCACCTTAAAAGTGTGGTACTAATTTTGTAAAAACCCCTCTATCGGTTTGTGTTGCCATTCACACAGCATTATCTTTGTAGGTGTTCGGAGCAGGCCTTAGGCAAGCTGTAAGCTATTCGGAACAATTTGAAATGGAAATAATCTGGCTAGACTGACAAAGAGGGACATGTTGAGTTTCCCCACATTAACATACAACGAAGACCAACTTCTAGATAATTAAAGAGGAAGTTCAGGCAAAATCTAACTAAAAGGTGAATGCCAAAATGGTCGATTCAGCAGAAACCAGCTGACTTTCAGCCCGTGTGTACAGCTCCCTGTCTGACAGAAGCCAGACCAGCTTGTCAAACGGGCAAGCTGGAAAACCAGTATCCAAACAGCGCTGACAGCCAATAGCCAGTATGTGAACAGTGTCTGTCAAGGGTGGAGCGGGTGATCGTTGTTTGCTGAGGGCCATCCCCCTGTCAGAACACAAATAGCACTGCAGGGGAGATCGCTGCACTAAATCAGTTTTGTTAGTACAGGGACATGTGTGTTTTTCGTTCAGCCCATGGGTTGGATAAAGAAGAAGAAGAAAAAAAAAAAAACAAAATCATTCAACTGTATCAGGCTTAAATCTGCTCCCAACTCCATTTTTAGACTATTGTACATAACCTTGTAAAGATAAGATCTGTATACTTACCTATTCTGAAGCTGGTCCAGTCACATGATGGGTCCCAGTGTTGGCTTCAGTGTAGAGGAGGGGCCAGCCAACAACTGATGCCCCCTAGTAAGCCTATGGTATGACAATCGGTGATCTGTCCTCTACAAAGAAGCTGCCGCTGGATAGATCATGTGACCGGACCGGCTTCAGAATAGGCAAGTATACATATCTTTTCTTTACAGGGTTAGATAAATTAGGCTTTGAATGGGGTGGGAGTAGATTTAGCCTTCGTAGAATTTGCCTAAACTACCAGTTTGACCCTTTGTTAGGACAGTGTTCAAATCTACTGAAAGTAATGATCTGCCAGCATAGCAAGGATTATAATGGTAATCATCAATTCCCCAGCCCCCTGTGCACAGTAAAAATACACAGATGCCAATGTTCACACTTTTCACGTGTTTTACGTTTTTGCCATTCATTTTGAAAAGAAACCCACAGATATACACAGACTGAGCACATACACCTGTATTTCTGACCACAGCAACACATTGCCTTGAGGGACTCTGAGTGGGGACCAGGCATATTTTTTGACTTGCATGAAGCACCCACTAAATAAGAACAGGATTCCTCAAAGCAAGCCTGGTGCACAAATGCATGGGAAAACAGCACAAACAAGTGTGAGAGGGTCATAAACGAAATCTGTCCCCTGCTCTTGTAGCAGGTTCCTGCCTCCCGTAGGGCAAACATTAAAGCAGTTGTAAAGGCTCAAAGTTTTTTATTATTTTCATGCATTCTATGTATGAAGGTAAAAAAACCTTTTGTGTACAGCCATGCCCCTACCCCCCCCCCCTAATACCCGAGCCCCTCTCTTGAGCCAGCAATATGCACAAGAGCCTTGGCTCTCCCCCCTCCTCATTGGCTAAGACAGTAGGAGTAGCCATTGGCTCCCGCTACTGTCAATAACTGTCAGTGAGCCAATGAGGAAAGAGTGCTGGCGGGTACAAGCCACGTTCCGTGTGTGAAAAGGACACACAGAACAGCAACTCGAGAGAGAGCCTGCTCGGGTGAGCCCTTAGCAAGCTGCTTGCTAAGGAGGCACTAGGCAGAAGGGAGGGGTCTGGAGCAACGGCAGGGGACCTGGGAAAATGAGGATCGTGGCTGCTCTGTGCAAAACCACCAAAAGTAAAAAAAAAAAAAAAACAAGTCTTTGATATTACTTTACAGATCACCTTAGGGGACACCTAACCTGCTCATGGTGAATTTATGTCAGTAACACTCCAAGTAGAACAGCAAAGGTAAGAATGACAGAACTGAACCACTTAAAGTCATTCAATGACAGCTCCAGTTTGTCCTGACAGATATACTTCAATCTTTTGCACACTCTACAAGTATAGTATATGTATTTTTTTTTTGGTCCCAAACCTTTCAAACAAACTCACTACTCACCCGATGCAGGTAGGTGTCAGAGTCCTCTGGCATGTCATAGTTGAAGACTATATTAACTCTTTCTATATCCATGCCTCGGCCAAAAAGATTAGTAGCTACAAGAATTCTCCTCTGGAAATCCTTAAACTGCTGATATCTTGAAAGCCTGGAAGGGAATCAATACAAATGATCATAATATACAAAAAAAAAAATATATCAAACAATTATGCTCAACTACTGAGTGCAATACCCAATACTGGCAAACTGGTATTTAATATTTCCACCACAAATGCCCACCCCCAACACACACTTTGGTGTATGTCACATTCACTGCTTTATAAATATACCAAACATTTACTTCATGCTGCATAGGTTTTGAATTCACGATTAACCTGCAAGAAAAGGTCATTCACTGCTTTGGAAATATTCTGTGAGTTGCCATGAATTTCATTGAAAGGGCAGTACTTTCCACAGACTCTGACCTCTGCAGCCCTCTATAGATGTAAACAGATTAGGAGAACCAACTGCAAATGGCAGACAAACCAGCAGTCACTGAGTCAAAAGATAAAAGGATAGGTTCACCTTTTCACAAAAGATAAATGCACTTTTTTTGTAGGAAAAAAAAAAAAAAAAAAAAAAAAATAATATGTGTATTTATTATTTGTTTCTGGAGCATGTAAAGCAATGCGCCAGTGACCAGCAGATCGCTGGTGCCACGCAGGTCTCTGGCAAACCTGTCAGTATATCTGCTTGCTGTATGGGATGTATGGGCAAGGAGATATACTGACAGGAAGAATCGAACTACCACGGTGCTCCACAGTGCTGTGGTAGTTCATTGAGAAGTGCAAGTCGACAGTCGCAAAGGCTGTTGAGACTTGCATTCCATTCATTCACAGAACACAGAGAATGAATGACACAGACTGGCGGATAGAACCCCACAGAGCTGCAGTTTCTTTTCTTTTTTTGCCTTTTTCCCCAATTGTGACAGCTAGCAGGGAGGAGCAGATCCCCACTAGCTGTAACAATGGGGAGGATCGGGGGCCGGTTACACACTGTATATAGATATAACATTTTGCATGTTACAAAAAGGTGAAATCATCCTTTAAACTCATCACCCAACCCTGAACACAGATTAAACCTCTGAAAGCCATTCTGTTCTTTCACAAGCCACACTGTATCTAGCAGTTGTTGCTGTACATGCAAACCGTCGCAGAAATCCAAAAAGCGAGCCTCACCTCTCCTCTTGCTGCATTCCTCTGTGGATAGCGATAGCTGGGAAATTTTGTTCCACCAAGAGCTGCGCCAGTGCTATACACCTCTGCACTGACTTTACAAAGATAACCACCTGAGAGAGAAAAACAATGTCAAGTATGATACACACCACTGTATACACAAAAATGTACATCTATCTGGAACAAATATGGGTGCTGCCATTGCTTACTTCCTTCTGAAAATACCGGTCATACCAATTTATTGACTTCAATTTTTTTATTGTCAGAAAAATAAGTATGCAGATCAGGAAAGCTAGACAGTGGTCCTTGATTCAAACTACTGAAGGTAAAGGCAAGATCTCATGACAGAAAGGAAATTAGTATTTGCAATAAATAAAAATAGCTGCACTGGCAGGCCCTCTGGGTTTTCCATGCAGAGCAAAATGTCAGCATCCTCCGATAGCCCATTCTGTCCCAGCAAGGTATTCTCACTGATCCATGCTGCAGGAGTCCAGCTTGGGTAAGCTATGATGTCTTAAAGCAGAGCTCCACCCAAAAGGGGACGTTCCACTTTAAGGACTGCTCCCCCACTCCCCATTAAGGATTAGCACCTTTGGGGGGGTAGGAGCGGGTACCCGAATTTGACAGGTACCCGCTCCCACTTCCGGTCAGATCGCCTAGGTGATCGGAAGGTGTCTTCCCTCCCTGTAGTCTTTTGGGACATGTGACAGATCCCAGAAGACTACAGGACCATTCATGAAACACAGCGCTACTCGCGCATGCGCAGTGGGTACCCGGCTGTGAAGCTGCAAGCTGTCACAGCTGGGTGCCCACACTAAAGATGCCGGCCTCCTGGAATACAGGACGGCTGGTGAAACGGGCTGCAGGGGACACACCGCGGGACCGGTAAGTGGCTGTTTTTTTAAAAGTCAGCAGCTACAGTTTTTGTAGCTGCTGACTTATTTTTTGACAGGGTTATTGGAACTCCGCTTTATCTCACTCTGTGGAGGTCATCACTGCCCTCACCCTCATGTGACAGTGTGCAGGCCTGGTGATTGGCTGTTCAAACCAGGGCACTGTCACAAGGAGTTCACATGCTCCTCCATACCCAGAAGCCCTGCTCAACAAGAACAGAAAGAAGCATGGAGATGCAAGTACATTTCTGGGGGAGAGGGCTGTATAGAAGCACCATCATATTGCCCAGAGTATGTCTTTAGATGATCCCTCCTACCAACCTGATTGAACTCCAGCACATCCAACAGGTCAAACAGTTTCCTGTTCTTTTCACTGTCCTTTAGTTTGACGTAATACTGCTGCAAACCGTGAAGTGTCAGCTTGGTCTCATCATCCACAAACACTTCCATAGGCTGGGGAAAAAACACTAGAAGTTATAGGTTGCCATCCAAAACATAAGTGGGCAGATATTGCAGCAAGTGGATCACAGTGCTGGATACTCACATCCTGCATGAACTTCCTGCAGACTGGGCGGATCTCCTTGCTGAGGGTGGCACTGAACATCATGCACTGTTTCTCATGAGGGGTAAGGCGGAAAATCTCCTGAACGTCTCTGCGCATATCTGCAGGAAAAGCAAGCAGTCACGTATATATTGAATACCCCATTTAGTACATTGAAATGAACATAAGGATTACAGTAAAGCCGATCATATATGAAAAATGACCACTTGAGTAATAAATTAATCTCTTCATTTCCTCTGTAATACACAAGGACAGGATCAAGGCAAGGCGATGACAATATCCAACCTATTATAGCTTCCAGTCTTACCAATGTAACAGTACCTCAACCCTATGTACCAACAGGGCTAAAGCTAACTAAACGTTACAACCTGCACCAGCCACAGGAGCCCAAAAGGGCTCCTTATCTACAGACAGAAGAATAAGTAAAGTAGTGGTGCACCAAAATTAAAATTCTGGAGCCTAAACCGAAAATTCAAAATGCACTTGGCCGAAAACCAAATGCACAGTTAAAAATGAATATATTTCTTGGGAAAAAATACACTTCAATTAAAAAAAAATACCCCAATTTTTTTTTTTTTTGTTATGTGTAAATATCTACCAAACGTCACGATTTAAAATTGTGCATGCTCGTGGAATGGCGTGAAGCTGTGGTACTTAAAAAATCTCAATAGGGGATGTTTTAAAAATTTGTACAGGTCAGCAGTGTAAAGTTACAGAGGAGGTCTAGTGTGAGAATTATTGCTCTTGTTCATGGCAATACCTCACGTGTGTGGTCTGAGCACCATTTACACATGTGGGTATGGCCTACCTATACGTTCACCACTATGTGTGAGCACGGGGGATGGGGGCACTTTAAACTTTTTTTTTTTTTTTACTGTTCTTTTAAAAAAATTGCAATCACTTATTTTTAAATCAGAAGGAATGCAAGCTTCCCCCTGTGATAGAAATAATTAGTGACAGGTCCTCTTTATGGAGAGATATGGGGTCAATAAGATCCCACATCTCTCCTCTGCAATGTAAAGCATTGGATCAAAAAAACCAAAAAACTTTGATCTAGTGCTTTAGAAAAAAATGGCCGGAACCGGAAGTGACATCGCTCTGGTCCTCCAAGGGCATAGAGATGAGTGGGGGCCATCTTGCCTTCACACATCTCTATGTGTGCCAGGATCGATGATTTCTCAGGCGAGGCTGAACTACCAAGCGGCAGCCAATGGCTGCATCGGGGTTCTTTCGGCACTTGTACCAGTACTTGTTATCATTTTGGCCGAAAGGGGAGTTTTCGGCCGAAACGTTTCGGCCACCGAAATTTCAGTGCATCCCAAAAGGTAAAGAAAAGTGGAAGTGCCATCTAGTTTCAGTTTTTCACTAAGATAACATCTAATGCTTCTAGCAGAACTCCTGTCAAAACGTTAAAGACTAACTTTAGATTTTAAAGAGACCTACGCAAATGAAGGGTTTTTACTGCACATTCTTCGCAAGATGCATCAGAATGTACACCGAGCTGCACATGCACAGCTGAGTATCACCTCTCGCCACACATCAGTACTGGGATACATGAACGCCCATAAGCATGCATGGGCAGGAGTAAGATCATCCCAACCCGGCCAATCAAGATGACTGAAAACCCCAAATCTGGGTATAAAATATTGGTGTCAGAGGGAAGTCGAATCACTATAGGGGAAAGTTTTGGAAGGTTTAGTTCGATGTTAATTCTGGATAACGTGGGAGAAAGGTTATAACGTGTTAGGGTGTGTTTTTTGCCATGTTCCCATTTGGGAGATTGCCCTGCACGTCTTGTCACACACTCAACAGGAACGGAGTGATTTCTAACCATTAAAAAGTTGCCACATCAATGGGGGCTTCCAATGCCGACATCCCTTATCCTAAAATACTATTCCCTGTTGTATTCTAAAGACATCCTAGATTGTAAGCTCCAAGGAGCAGGGCCCTCTAATCCCTCTTGTATTGAACTGTATTGTTACTGTACTATCTCCCTCCATAATGTAAAGTGCTTCACAAACTGTTGGTGCTATACAAGACCTGTATAATAATAATAATAGAGGTTAATTGACTAAATGCAAATAGGCTGTTCACTTTACAAGAACATTTTCCACAGAGATTAGTGAATAAGATCACCCAAAGCGGTTTTATTTTTTTTTTTCCCCCCTTGCATGTGATTGGGTATTCTTTGCATAGAAACATCGTATTTACTAAGCTCTGGAGCAAATTCCTGCACAAATTGAACAGCCTATTTGCCTTTAGTAAATCAATCCCATTGACTCGAGAGAAATGCACATTGGAAGTTCTGACTTCACTCCAACTTTCCTGATCGGAGTCAGTGACTCTAAATATTTAAGCCAGAATGCCAGACAACATGCATTTTCATAAGGTTATGACAGCCTCTGTACCTCACCTTTAATCAATTGCAGACTCTGGATGTGTTAGACACACCCCAAAAAAAAGGCCATCATTATACACAGGGAGTGTGTAACACATCCAGTCCTTCTGCCCTTCTTCCAGGACCTCCCCTGTCCCAGTACTCTGCTCTGAATAATCAAAGCTGCATTGCCCAGTACACAAGGAGAGGTCTGACAGCTGGAGCTGTCAAAGAAAAGCAGTCAGGCAATGTTTATCAACAACACTGCTCAAAAGAAACAATGTTTCATTTTGTATCTGGAGATTTACCTACAGATCAAATGGATGAACTTCAATCTGCAGATGAAGTCAGTTAAAGTAACCTGACAAGTAAAAAAAAAAAAGTTTTTTTTTTTTTTTTTTTAAATGTTTGTGTTTAACCCCTTATTAACCCTTAGTTTACTCTAGCAGCCCTAATTAACTCATTCGCCTTGATTCAATTTTTCTTGCCGATTTGTTTTCGTTAGTTTCTATATTATTAACTAATATTTAAATGTTTTTTTCGTTAATATTTTACTTCTTTACCATGTTTAGAAAATTTCACATTTAAAAGAACAAAAAAAACACTATTACATTTGTGAATAATTTTGCAATGCTTTGTACCAGAATCAATTTTAGTGTCGTTTTAAACAGAACAAAATTACAGAATAAAATGTTCCCTTTTTACATGCAGTACTACTATTTATTTTTAAACTAAGAAAACACTGCTCAAAAAGAGAAAAAAGCACGATTTGTCACATTTAATGGTTTAAGGCTTGCAAAAAATAAATAACCATTGTTGCAAGACAGTATTCACAAAAAGCCTTGTTTGTCCTTAAAAAATAAAACTAATGTATTCCAATGTTATCTTAAGTAATGACAAAGTTATCGCTGATCAAACAGGTCCACAGCAGAAATTTAAAAATCGCTCTGGTTTATAAGGAGTAAATATGTGTGAGAGCAGAAGCAGTTAAAAGGATAAGTTCACCTTTGGGAACACGTAACATGTTCCCATAGCTGCGGCCGCATCCGCCCCTTCCCTCTGACGTACTGTCAGATTTGAAAACAGCGTGGCCGTGCATGGCTCCTCCCACACGGCCACGTCACTTTCACAGTTCTGTGAATGAGTGCCTACAAGTCCCGGCAGCCTTAGCGGCTGCAGGCTTGTAGTTTTCAATGAACTTCCATGGTGCTGTGGGAGTTAATTGAAGCTTCCGGTCAGAATATATGCTTGCTCTTACATTTCGTATGGCAAGCAGATATTCTGACAGGTCTGCAGGAGACGTGCATGGCATCACTGATCTACTGATCACAGGTGCAAGGCTTCCCAGGCTCCTGCAGACAAAAATAATAACTGCACATTTTTTACCTGCAAAAAAAAGGGCATTTATTATTTTTGTTAAAAAGGTGAGCTTACCCTTTAACACAAGGTCTCCCCACCTTCATACAACACTTACCTAGCTGCTCCAGCATCTTATCACACTCATCTAGGACAAAGTGTTTGACATGCTTCAAGTTCAGAGTCTTCTGTCTGACCAGCGCCAGGGTACGGCCAGGAGTGCCCACCACGATATGAGGACAACTTTTCTGGATGGTCTCCTCATCCCTCTTAATGGAAAGGCCACCAAAGAAAACGGCAACCTGTTTAGAGAGAAGACTAGTTGAGTGAAACTCAAGAACATTCACAGTGCATGAGCACAAGGTGCATGAAAGTCACCCCTACACATCAGAAGAAAAGCCCTTACCTTTATATTAGGCATGTACTTTGAGAATCTCTCATATTCTTTGCTGATCTGAAATGCAAGTTCACGCGTGTGGCACATTACAAGAACCGATACTTGTCCCTCTACTGCCTCGATCTGTTGAAGTGTGGCCAGGACAAAGACCGCAGTCTTCCCCATACCAGATTTGGCCTGACATAAGATATCCATGCCGAGGATGGCTTGAGGTATACATTCATGTTGCACTGGAGGGGGAAAAAAAAAACAAAAAAAACACAAACATGAGCCAGTGATCAGATGTAGATGGGCCACACCAGATAACAAAAGAGGAAAAAAAAAAAAAAATCAGTCGTGATTAAAGTGGAACGGCACTGGATTCAAGCACCACAAACCAAGAATGCTACATATTTCATTTTTAATATTCAAAGCAAACTCCTCCATCCGTCCATGTCTCTATGCTTTATTTTGCTGAGATGCCGTGGCCATCTTGACTAAGGGCAGATGATTCATGTAGCAGTTACTTCCTGGAATCCATCTGCCTTTAGCTCAGGCATTGGCTGAGCTGAAAACCATCCATGCCCTTCTGAAAACGCCTGGGATGTATGACATTTGCCTAGGCATGGAAACCAGGAAGTAACTGAAGAAATGGAAGAAGAAAAAAAAAAAAAAAAAGTTAACACTATTAGTGCAACGAACTGAAAATTCTGGTGCCGAAACCAAAAATTCAAAATGCACTTGGCCGAAAACCGACATGCGCAGTTTTTAAACATGAATATTTTTTTTTGGAAATACATTGATAAAAAAAAAAAAAAAACAATATATACCTTAATTTTTTTGTAAAATATGAAAGAGGATGTTATGGCGAGTAAATAGATACCCAACATGTCACGCTTTAAAATTGCACACGCTCGTGGAATGGCGTGAAACTGAGGTACCTAAAAATCTCCATGGGTGATGCTTTCAAAATTTCTACAGGTTATCAGTGTAAAGTTACAATAGGTCTAGTTCGAGAATTATTGCTCTTGCTCTGATGTTCGTGGCGATACCTCACGTTTGTGGTCTGAACACCATTTACATATGTGGACATGGCCTACGTATGCGGTCACCATTATGTGCGAGCACGGAGGGACGGAGGCACTATAAACTTTTTTTTTTTTTATTTGTTTAATGTTTTGAGGTTTTTTGGAGGGGTTTTTTGCACTGTCCCTTTAAAAAAAATGTAATCACTTTTATTCTTATCACAAGAAATGCATGCATCCCTTGTGACAGAAAGAATTCGTGACAGGTCCTCTTTATGGAGAGTCAGTAAGACCCCACATCTCTCCTCTACAATGTAAATCATTGGATCAAAAAAAAAAAAACAAAAAAAAAAAAAAAACAACACACAAGGCGTTGATCTAGTGCTTAAAAAAATAAAAATAAATAAATGCCTGGAAAGGGAAGGGACATCGCTCCGGTTCCTCCACGGTCATAGAGACAGTCATCTTTCCTTCCCTCATCGCTATGTCCAGAGTCGGGATCGATGGTTTCTCAGGTAAGGCAGAGAACTACCGAGCGGCGGGGTTTTTGCGGCACCTGTATCGGTGCTTTTTCTTCCCAATTTCGGCCAACGGCTGAAAGGGGTGTTTTCAGCCAAAACGTTTCGGCCACGGAAATTTCAGTGCATCCCTACTTAACACAAGTACATATGATATGCTTTCCCAGCCATTTACTAATGCTAGCAGCATAAGGATTAGAAATAGTCAATGTTGACAGAATGAAGTTCTGCTTTAAACAGTGGTAAGTTTGATATTTTTAATGCATTATGAAATGAAGGAGTCCTATCTACCCCCCAAAACAAGACTAAAATCTGCTCAACAGGAACAAACACTATTGTAATGGAACCAAAAAGCTGCAATACTACTTGTAACCTGCAAGAGCAAAAAAGGTGAAATCTTTGACTCAAACCCCCACATCAACTGTTATTGCATAAATGGGTCTGAAACACAATCCCAACATGAAACCCCCCTGTGGGCTAGATCTATCAACCCTCTATGGGAAGGGACAGACTAGTGCCTGCACACATTCTGCTTCTCCTAGGAGCAGGCTGCTACACCAAGAACTCCAGTGCTCTAGTAAACCTGACGTTTAAAAGGCCAAGTTGATTCATAGATGGAGTTATTTACTCCCCATGTCCAGACTTCTAGCTCCAGACTATTATTTTTAGCCTGCAAATGTGTTTCATTAAAATGGATCTATCGTAGATTGTAAGCTGGAAAGAGCAGGGCCCTCGATCCCCTCATGTTTTGCATTGTATTGGTATTGTTCTGTCACATGTTCTGTCCCCCTTTGTAATGTACAGCGCTGAGCGAACTATTGGCGCTTTATAAATACTGTATAATAATAATAATCATGTCCTCCAACTCCTGAGCTCTGGAGAGACAAATCTTGCTGCAACAAGGTACCCCTCACAAATTTAATAAGCTATGGGACCCCTGGCTACAAGTACCAGGATTAGCCCCCTCTGTCCCTACTAGAAGCGCCATGGATACATGACAGGGTGAAGTTAAAGCGGAGTTCCACTCGCCCTGTCAAAAAATAAGTCAGCAGCTACAAAAACTAACTGCTGTCTTTTAAAAAAACAGCCACTTACCCGTCCCTCTGTGTGTACCCCGCAGCCCGTTTCACCAGTCGTCCTGTATTCCAGGAGGCTGGCATCTTCAGTGTGGGAACCCGGCTGTGACTGCTTGCTGCTTCACAGCCGGGTACCCACTGCGCATGCGCGAGTAGCGCTGCGCTTCATGAATGGTCCTGTAGTCTTCTGGGACATGTCATGTCCCAAAAGACTACAGGGAGGGAGGAAGGACAACTTCCGTTTCTGATCGCCTAGGTGATCGGACCAGAAGTGGGAGCGAGTACCTGTCAAAGTTGGGTACCCGCTCCCCCTTTTTGGGTGGAGCACCGCTTTAATATCTGGGAGTGTTTACAAATGACATGATATATAACAAGGTTCACACTTGTTGGTTTATTTCTCTTGACAGCACAATGAGCATTATGTTGTTTCTTATGCGATCACAGTCACCATAAAAGTTTTGTGGATGTGATAAAGACTTCCCAAAGTTATGTTATACTGTTTCATGGTAATACTAGTTCTCTCTCTTTACTCGCACACAAAGGAAAAAAAAAAGGATTAAAAACTATTTGGGGAGGAAAAAAGCCAAGTTCACCTTTGGTTTAAAAAAAATATGCAGATACAAAATGTGCATTTATTATTTATTTGAACACAAGAGCCTGCAAAGCATTGCATTCACGATCAGTGGATTGCAGGTACGTTAGGCTCCTTCAGACAATGCCTACAATTCTCCACCCATACTTCTGTATGTGCAGATAGTGTCAATGGACTACATATGAGGGCACTAATCAGCAGTGGTGGACAGGACCAATGAATTAATGGCTGTCTAGGTGCAGACTCACAGCTGCATTGATTTTAAATGCAACATTGGCTGTGGGGAAAAGAACTCCTGCCACTGTCACAGGGGAAGGAGCTGGTGATTTCCAACAAATTACAGCTTAAATATTGGTGTAACATGTTCGTAAAAGTGAAACCTAATCATTTAATCTGATATTTTGCTGTACCTGGCTCCACCCCCAACATTTTAATGAAACCGGTTTTCATTACATACTTTATTATACGTAGACCCAGTGAGGACATCATTAGCTCTCTATGCAATGCAGGTAGATCATTACTGGGAGGGTCTGGTAAGGTGATTTACATAGATTCCTAAAAACACCACAGCACCCTGCCTTAGTACCCTACAACAGCCCTCAAAGTGGTTGTAAAGGCTCAGGGCTTTTTAACATCATGCATTCTATGCATGAAGGTAAAAACCCTTCTCTGTGCAGCACCCCCCCCAGTCCCCCCCTAATACTCACCTAAGCCCCCTCTCGTTCCAGTGATGTGCACTGGAGTCTCAGCTATCACAGGTCTCCCTCTTCTCAATGGCTGAGACAGAAGAGGGAGCCACTGGCTCCTACTGCTGTCAATCACAGGCAGTGAGCCAATGAGAAGAGAGGGGGCAGGGCCTAGCAACAGCAGTGTGTGAATGGACACATGGAACAGAGGGTGCCCCCATAGCAAGCCACTTGCTGTGGGGGCACCCGACAGGAGAGAAGGGCAAGGAGCGCCGGTGAGGGACCTGAGAAGAGGCGGATCCTACCTGCTACGTGCAAAACTGCTGCACAAAACAGGTGAGTATAGTCATGTTTGTTATTTTTAGAAAAAGAAAATAAGTCTTTAGAATCACTTCAATCCTGATGCAAGCAGTAGGCTTGCTTTTAGGAGGAGTCAAATATCAAACTGTCTTGATGGGTGATGTCTGGAGGAGTGAATATTTCTAGGCAGGCTGCATTTGCAAGCAGACCCTCACAATGTGATGCTGAGCCTCCATGATTGAAAGAACTGAAACCACATGCATGTTAGGGGTAAGCCAAATATCCTAAAGAGCTAGATGATGCAGGACGTCCTCCAGCCAGGACATAAGGTGGGCTAGGGCTTGCTGCAGCTTATAATGCACACCGAAAACCTAACAGAGTGCAGTGATATCAGAGAAATCAGTCCAAGTACAGAAGGGGATCCTGGACCATGCAAGACAGAGTAAGGTTGGAGTTTAGCTTTAAATAAGACCGCAGATTTCCTTGGTGGCCTGTCTTTCCAGCTCTTCGTAATACACCTCCCCCACCCAGTGGTTTATAAGCCTTTCCACTCTACAGTGCACAGAACATTGGTGGCGAACCTATGGCACACATGCCGCAGTAGGCACGCACAGCCCTCTTTCGGCACGCAAGCCAAGTCGCCCCAGCAGTCGAGCATCGGATAACAGTGCACATAGGGGCCAATGTGCATGCTCGGAAAGGAGTAGGGGGGGTGCCAGACAACGATGTCACGAGCTGCAACTCATTAGCCGTGACTCGTCCGAGCTTTCGCATGGCTGGTCAGTGTGCTGCCAAGGATATATACATATTGGACTGGCTGTGAGGATTTAATACATTTATTTTTATTAACACAAGATTTTAGCTTGCGCCGGCAGGCAGTGGAACTTATGGCCCCTCGTGCCGGCAGGCAGTGGAACTTATGGCCCCTCGTGCCGGCAGGCAGTGGAACTTATGGCCCCTCGTGCCGGCAGGCAGTGGAACTTATGGCCCCTCGTGCCGGCAGGCAGTGGAACTTATGGCCCCTCGTGCCGGCAGGCAGTGGAACTTATGGCCCCTCGTGCCGGCAGGCAGTGGAACTTATGGCCCCTCGTGCCGGCAGGCAGTGGAAGTGCTGTTATTTTGTTTTTCTAAGACAAAAGATGTTAATGTACGAGTAGTTTTTTGTAAACTAAAACCTCAGTATTCAGGTTTAATTGCAGTGTTGGCATTTTGCGATACATAAGTGGGTTTTGGGTTGCAGTTTGGGCACTCGGGCTCTAAGAGGTTCACCATCACTGGTACAGAAGGTCTGGAAGAGCAGGAAAGGTGGGGGAAAATTGATGGCAGACAGCAACCAGACTTAAATATTTTCTTGACATTGATGGGATTTTTGAGAACCCGGGCACCATGAAAAGTAGTAAGGTGTAATGCCATCTGTCTGTCACTAGATTTTGGTGGGGTTTGCAGCCCACAGGTACACTTTAGGAAACGTGCCAAGAAATATGGAAGGCACCATTGCTGATCTCAGATGAAAAGGTAGCTGCTTGGCTTTCAACAGGAATGAACAAGTGTGAAGATTTAAATATCCAACTCTACTTCCAGCACACGTCTGCATTGGTGACAAAATTGAGGGTGTACAGTCAGCTCCACAACGGAGCATCCGTTAGCTTCAAAAGGAGAGGTAGCAACTGACATTCTTCCCCCAAGACCAGTTTCCTGTCAGAGCTACTTGGATTCAGCAGCTACACCTACCTTCAGAGGGATGTTCAAAGCCACAGTCCACAATGGCCCGAAGCAGTTCAGGTTTTAACAAGAAGTCTCTGAAACCCGAACTGTGGATGGACACGTAGGATCCTTTCACCTCTTTTCTGCCAGTTGGTGCTGGTGCCTCACTTTGCTGTGGCTCGTCCTCTTCTTCATAATCCAACAGTTCATTTTCAACGTCCTGCTCAGTCATGATGTCTGCGGGACAATGGAAAGAGAACACAAAACTTAGTATAAAACCTAACAAGGACATGGAAGACAGCGAAAACAAAAAGTATGCCATTTACAAAAACACCATTCCTGTAGCTGTAAGTCTACCATTAACGACACTCAAATATCATAGACCAAGATGAAGGGAGTGTCATGTGTACACCCTTCTCTGCTGCTCACTGGAATCCTGAAGTAATAAAGAACTACTAAAGACAACTTCTCTGGGGGACAAAATACAGGATGTCTTCTTAAAGTGGAGCTTCACCCAAAAGGGGAAGTTCCGTTTTAAGGACTGCTCCCCATTAAGGATTGGCACCATTGGGAAGCGGGGGGGGGGGGGGGGGGGGGGGGGGGGGGGGGGGGGGGCGGGTACCCGAATTTGAAAGGTACCCGCTCCCACTTCCGGTCCGATCGCCTAGGCCAGGGGTAGGCAACCTGAGAGCTGCAGGACTACAAGTTCCATCATGCCTCTGCAAGTCAAAGTTATAGCTGTAACTGTCAGTTTTGTAATCTTTGCAATGCCTCATGGGAAATGTAGTTCCACAACAGCTAGAGAGCCACAGGTTGCCTAGGCGATCGGAAGGTGTCCTACCTCCCTGTAGTCTTTTGGGACATGTGACAGGTCCCAGAAGACTACAGGACCATTCATGAAGCACTACTCGCCAGCCTCCTGTAATACAGGACGGCCGGTGAAATGGGCTGTGGGGGACACACCGCGGGACAGGTAAGTGGCTGTTTTTTAAAAGTCAGCAGCTACAGTTTTTGCAGCTGCGGACTTATGTTTTGACAGGGTTAGTGGAACTCAGCTTTCAGGTAGAACTATAGGCAAAATGTTTTTTTCTTCAATTCGGATAGAGCAAGGGTTATAACCAGTCAGATTTGTTTTCTCCATCTGTGTCTCATTGTGAAGATTTCCCTTCATTTCCTGTCCCATAGCCAAAACAGGAAACGAGAGGAAATCCCTGCAAATTAAAGAAATTCCTGGTGGACCCCCAGGTCACCAGAACTAGTGTCCCCATTAGGTGGTTTCCCCCTTATTACTTTGCTGGGGACAACCCAAAATTTGGGATTTTCTTTACTTTCAATGATAATGGTAAACAAGATGAGAGAGTGAATCTCCTTAAAAGGAGCAAATACAGCAATAAAAACTGACAGGGGTTCTAATGTCTCTCCACTCCATCCAAAACTGAATAAAAAAAAAAAAGTTTTGCCTTTAGTTATACTTTAAAACAATCCTTAGCTGTCAATCTTCTCCTCTGGCTTCACTGTAATCCAAGTGCTGATCTGGAACAAATGAGCAGCTGAGCATTCTCCATGTTCAGGGGGACAGCAGTGACAGCTATGTGTTGTTCCCAAAAGATGCCTTTTAAATGAAAATCTGATCTATACATAATTTCAATGCACAGGTCAACTGATCCAACCTCCCAACAGACTTGTGTGCATCAAAAATACTGCAGATTACAACAGTCAACATGCAAAGCCAGACGCTGCTATCTTCTGGTTCAAGGTTACCAAACCTCTGCTGACTTGTCAGGTGATGATGCCAACCGTCTGCCCAGTATGTCAGGTTGAGTAGCTTACAAGAAACGAGCTAGAAATCCTATGGCATGTAAAACCGCTCACATACCGCACATGCATCTCTGCCATGACATCATCAATTTACAAAGAGTTCTCCTTTAAAAAAAAAACCAGTTAACCTGCAGCTGCCCCCCCATTATTCTGTAGCACTGATCACTAGATTGGTGTCACTGGGGATGTCAGTGACACCAAGTCAGTCCCCCCCCCAGTGTCAGAATGTCCCCCCTTTACACACAGCTGAGGGCACTATCCCTGCACCCCCATGACAGTGCTATAAAGTACCAGCTGGATGTTGGCTTCAATTTGTTAGTGTATCCAAAGCTCCCTGATCTCCTTCATCCAATGTGGGGGCACTACTACAGGTGGTGTGTTACTGGCCAGATCACCAGATGGAAAAAAAAGAGGGAAAAGCCAAAAAAAAAAAAAAAGAAAAGGAAAGCAGCCACCACATCTAATGATTGGTAAGCCGTGATATATTACTTCTTAGGTTTGGGGTTTAATACCACTTTGTCAATTGTAAAGTGCAGCAGATCTTAGTAGGTGGACTATTATACAGCTTGGCCAACATCCTCCATTGGCAGAGGAAGAACAGAAGAATGTTCTTCTGTTAGCAATATCAGGATCTCAAACACTATGTTACTGAAACCTCCATTACCATCAATTCCCCACACAGGCGAGGGGCATTCACCAACACAGCACAAACCATGGAGGGAAGAAAAAAGCAGGCAAGGCTGGGGGGGGGGGGGGATGTTCTGTGTGGAACTATGAAGAACTGTCCTCAATCAGGGATGAGTGGGAACAGCTGACTCCCCCCTCAATTATATCAGTCGCCTACCACCAGCACCTGTCCCATTGAGGTGTCATATGGAGGCCCCTGGGGATTGTGGCTGTCAGGATCACAACCTCCCCCCCTGCAATCATTAACACAAGGCAAGTACCTCCTCCTGGGACTAAATATACCCCGACAACATGGCAGGCATAAAAACAGACCGCCTGCTGCTTTTCCACCAAATACTGATATTCCATTGGATGCACACAGCTGGAAAAATACAAGCCAGCCAACTGATCCTTCCCTGGGGTGTCTGCAGATCTAAAGCTGGCCATACACTATACAATTTTCTTATTTAAATTTTCCTTTAGATTTCCCTTCATGTAGTGCCAGGGCCTGCCTGATTGCATTCAGTGCATTGAAAAAAGTTTTCATACCCCTTGAAGTCTTCCACATTTTGTCATGTTACCACCAAAAACAAATGTATTTTACTAGAATTGGATGTGATAGAAAAATACAAAGTGGCACATAATTGTGAAGTGGAAGGAAAATGATTTTTCAAAATTTTTTTGCAAATAAAGTGAAAAGTGTGGAGTGCATTTGTATTCAGCCCCCCCCCCCCCCCCCCTCCCCCGAGTCAATACTTTGTAGAACCACCTTTCACTGGAATTACAGTTGCAAGTCTTTTTGGATATATTTCTACCAGCTTTGCACATCTAGAGAGGGACATTTCTGCCCATTCTTCTTTGTAAAATAACTCAAGCTCTGTTAGACTGGATGGAGAGCATCTGTGAACAGCAGTTTTCAAGTCTTGCCACAGATTCTCCATTGGATTTAGGTCTTGACTTTGACTGGGCCATTCTAACACATGAATATGCTTTGATCTAAACCATTCCATTGTTGCTCTGGCTGTACGTTTATTGTCATTGTCCTGCTGGATGGTGAACCTCCGCCCCAGTCTCAAGTCTTTTGCAGACCAACAGGTTTTCTTCTAAGATTGCCCTGTATTTGGCTCCTTCCATCTTCCCATCAACTCTGACCAGCTTCCCTGTCCCTGCTGAAGAAAACCATTCCCACAACATGATGCTGCCACCAACATGTTTCACAGTGGGGATGGTGTGTTCAGGGTGATGTGCAGTGTTAGTTTTCCACCACACATAACACAAAAGAAAAATTTTGGTCTCATCTGACCAGAGAACCTTCTTCCACATTCTTGCTGTGTCCCCCACATGGTTTCTCACAAACTGCAAACAGGACTTCTTATGGCTTTCAACAATGGCTTTCTTCTTGCCACTCTTCCATAAAGGCCAGATTTGTGGAGTTCACGACTAATAGTTGTCCTGTGGACAGATTCTCCCACCTGAGCTGTGGATCTCTGCATCTCCTCCAGAGTTACCATGGGCCTCTTGGCTGCTTCTCTGAGTAATGCTCTCCTTGCCCGGCCTGTCAGTTTAGGTGGACGGCCATGTCTTGGTAGGTTTGCAGTTGTGCCATACTTTTTCTATTTTCGGATGATGGATTGAACTGTGCTCCGTGGGATGTCCAAAGCTTGGAATATTTTTTTTTATAGCCTAACCATGCTTTAAACTTCTCCACAACTTTATCCCTGACCTGTCTGGTGTGGCCTTCATGATTCTGTTTGTTCACTAATGTTCTCTAACAAACCTCTGAGGGCTTCACAGAACAGCTGTATTTATACTGAGATTACATTACACAGAGGTGGACTCATTTACTAATTAGGTGACTTCTGAAGGCAATTGGTTCCGCTAGATTTTAGTTAGGGGTATCAGAGTAAAGGGGGATGAATACAAATGCACGCCACACTTTTCAGATATTTATTTGTAAAGCATTTTGAAAACGATTTATCTTTTTCCTTCCACTTCACAATCATGTGCCACTTTGTGTTGGTCTATCACACAAAATCCCAATAAAATACATTTACGGTTTTGGTTGTAACATGACAAAATGAGGAACATTTCAAGGGGTATGAATACTTTTTCAAGGCAGTGTAAAAATTGAAAGCGTGTGGGTTTGACCTAATTATATGTTTTTGGCAAACCTAAAGGAAAACTGTACAACGTATGGCCAGTTTAAGTCTTGGCTCACACTGATGTGGTGCAGGATTAGCAATAATTCCAGTGTGATTCCCGCACTGCATCACAATCGCACTGTGTTCTTGCAATCTGATGCGGGTGTCAATGTTAAGTTAACGACATCCCAAAAACAGGTCCTAAATGGAGTGTGATTGCCTGAAAGGGATCACATAGGTGTGAACGTGCAATTCAATCTGAACCCAGTGCAGAAATTAAAGAAAAAAAGTTGGGGGGGGGGGGGGGTTCCTGCACCTTTTTTGTGTGCATGTGGGGAGATTTGAGCCATACAAAATGAAAAGGCTTAAATCACACTGCAAATTACAATGTGGTGCGATTCCTGTGCGAATCACAAGTGGTTTCCCTGCACCCCATGAGTGTGAACCTAAACTCAAGTAGAACTAAATGGTAAATAAATGAATACATAAACTAAATGTTAAATATTTAAACCACTAAATAAAGGGAGAGTTGTAACCCGTCAGTTTTTTGTCATGTGTCCTGCTGTGGGAGATTTCCCTCAACTTCCTGTCCCACAGCCAGAACAGG